GGAATTTCCCCTGGCATCGCAGTCCCGCATTCGTGCAGCCTAGGATCAGACATGCTCGCCATTTCCTAGTAGTTGTTTGGAAACCCACCACTCTTTCCGTCTTCTCTGTGAAACATCGTGTTTGGCGAGTCCCAGCATTACAAGTATGTATCTTGAAATAGGGTGCAACCTCATGGGTACGGCGGCCAGCACTCGAAAAGTCGAAGCGACAACGAGCGACATTGCATCCTTCCTTGGTCTTCAATAGATTCTCAAACTAGTTTCACAACTGGATGAAATCTGTGCAGAGGTTCCATAGGCGCGACCGGATTTGGCAGATCCAATCTGCTGCTCATGTGTTGGAATGGTTAGGGAAAAGATCTTAATTTTACCACATCGCCCGATCTATTCCTTATGCTGCTCGAGGCCTGGTTATGATAATTGTCCGCGATGAGATTATTGGCTCATGGGTTGCAGTGGCACGAAGTGGCTATTGGATTTGTGTTCCGAGTAGGGCCTTTGGTGGCATTTGTCAGAGGTATACCCAGGCAGCCCAGGACTGGTCGTGTGGTCCCATTACGCCGAGGATTGGGGGAGAGGATCGACAAGCTGCAGCAAGCAAGCGGCGGATTGTCTCCTCCCCCGTCATCTGACCCAAACACTATGACTCAGTTAAAGTCATTTCGATAACGCGTCAGACCAGCCAGATAGATACACCCCATGTTTGGGCGATCCCAAGAAGCTACCGCTTCGAACTTCCTGGTCGATGCAGTATGTTTGTATAAACCCACATTGGGGGCACTGTCAAGAGTCGCTATTGAGTTGCTTGGGTGTGGGGGCACGATTAGATTCTGAGATATATGGGGAGTCGGAAGGTGAGAAACTCTGTAAAAGATGGTCGTTCTCAGCGAGGAGACGACGCGGCGACTCGCCGAAAGTTAAGATGGTGCAAGGCACCATTTGCGACAAGCCCGGGCAGAGGGTAGGGCGGGAGGCGTTTTGCTGCATACCTCCTTCAACTCTCTAGCTCGACTCTCTCTGAATAGAGGTCGCAAAAGGTAGTTGACATGTAAGACGCTGTGGAGAGGGTTAGAACTATGACCTTTTGGTCCGATGATTGCCAATTTAGTTTTCTACTGACGTTGAGGGCCGTCAATCTCCAGGGTTCTGAGTGGTGTCAACCAGGTGTGCTCCGCCTCCGGTTCCTAGGGTATTTTGCTGCCTGTGAGAGGCCAAGCTTCGATCAACAACCTTAACCAGGGAAAGATGCCCCAGGATGCCAGAATCGCCGCCAGGGTTCCCTCGCAACCGGCAACCCTGCCGAGAATTGGCGAAGGGCGGTGATCGATCTCGAGGTGTTTCTCTCAGTGAACACAAGTTCCGAGGGGCCTAAGCGACGATCTTGGTGCAGCAGGAGGCCTTTAGTAACAGGTTCCAGGTTCTTGCAATGGTGCAGATGGTCGATGAGGCTCTAAAGTGCCGAATTCCAGTGACGGGAAGGAATAGTACCGATTTGTTTGCCCAGGTCTAGTCCCCGACCCAATGACACGTAGGGGCTCAGGATACCGATCCTTGCATGTCGGGGACCTCTTTTTTAACAACTTTCTAGAACATTGACCCCATCGAGGAAGTGAGGGACCAGGGCCAGTTCAAGATTTTGGGTCCCACCTCTCCATTATCTGATCGACGACGGCCGCGAAGCCTTCCATTTCCTCTTCGGCTGTTGTTCCAGAGAAATCCATGCTGCAGCCCACATACACTGGCTGTTTCATCTTCCGCGCAAGTATCTTGGCCATTCTAGTGGCATAGTCAATGTTGGAGCCCGAGGTTGCGAGAGGCGTGCTGATCACATTCCGGTCGTCTCCAATCTAGAACTCTATTAGGAGGCTGTAACAAATCCTCAACACGTCAATTTTACGTACGGCAGGCATTGCGTAGACAAAACTTCCCATGGGCGGTAAGGTGCTCTCAGTGTGGCCAATGTCGGTGGTGGTCAAAAGGACCATGCTGCAATTTCCTATGAAACTCAGGTGTGCATGGAAGTTGAGATGAGGGTGCCGGGGCACGGGGAATGAGATGTGGACAGGTTTGAACGAGGGTTCCATGGCTGCTTGGGAGCCTTGAGGGCCCGAGGGCGGTGTGCTGGAAATTGGAGTTTTCGCTATGAGAGAGATTGACGACCAGGTCGGCAATGTAACTGAGGGGGAGGGTTCATTTCACAAGGGCGAACAGCAGCACAGCGTGTGTGAAGTTGAATACCAGGAGGAGTGAGTGATTGAGTGTATTTGAGAATTGAGAATTGAGAGTTGAGAGAATCAGAGAATCAGAGATGGAGAGACTCGTGCGAATATCTTTATCTGGCTTGGCGCCGCCTGCGACGTCAACCCCAATGCGCAGTTCCGGTTTTTCTGCTGTAGCAATGTAAGCCGTCAACGTTCCCAAAAGCTCTGTTCAGCAACAAGTCTACTGCGTCCGTCGCTGCCAGAACCTCTCCAGAAATGGCTACAGTCCAGAACACCCAGGATGCCACCTTACCGCAACCCAGCCCACTCTTTGACGACGCAGGTCCTTTGGCTGACCCTCAAGAACGGCGAGTCATTTTCGCTGCTCTGGATTCCTTCCGGTAAGTGGACTAGAGCATTTGATGCTCCAAGCGAGTCCTTGGGTGCGCAGATGGTAAGGCCGTATATGCTGGGTCATTGTTCGCACTGGTCTCGATGATCGGCTGTTGCGGCTTCATGAAGGCGAAGTTCAAGCTCTCAGTTACGCAACGTCGCACGCCGTGTCTGTCCTCGCTCGGGTCGCTGGACGCGTCTTGGGCGAAGGTATCGAGCTCAGCCGTGAGAAACCATGTAGCCTCACCTCCCCTACGGCTGTTTGCTCATACTGGGCTTGAATCCCTGGAAGCGGCCTCGCAAAGGAACAACCAGCTCCTCAGGCGGTATCTATGCTTCTGTTCTGGCTCTTCGTTTGTTCTCAACTTCTTCAATAGCCTTTCTCCCGTAACTAACCTGGAATATGGCTGACCTAGATTGAAGCCAGTACCGGATCGACTCTCACTTCAACACAACCCATCGAAGGAGACAGAATTTCTACGCTCTCCCATCAGCTCAATGGCAAATGCTTGCCGCTCCTCCCTTTTCCATCCGCGACACCCTGAGTGCCGTTGATAATGCAATAGACCACAATGCCGACTTAGCAGAGCAAATCCTTCAGCTGGGGTTAAGTGCATTCGCCCTCCCCAAAAAACCACCCAAAGACTCGGAGATGAACTGGCAAGGGAAGGCCAAACCAAATGACATGGCCAAAGCTCACTCTACCATCCGTCAGTTCTATAGAGATTGGACTCACGAAGGTTTCACTCGCGAGGTCGAACCGCTTCTCAACATGATCATCTCAGACCTCGCCGCACATCTCTCCACGACACGACCCGACAATCAGTCTCCGTCGCTCCTTTTGCCAGGAGCCGGGCTCGGCCGTGTCCTCTTTGAACTCGCTCTACGAGGCTTCCACGCGACAGGCAATGAAATCTCTTATCACCAATTATTCGCAAGCAATTTCATTCTCAACAGTACCGAAAGGGTCAATCAGTACTCGATCTATCCCTTTGCACATACGTTCACCAACGTCGAATCTCGGGCAAATCAACTCAGACGCTTCACAATCCCAGACATCCATCCTGGTCAAGCCTTCTCTGCTCGGCTCGCTGCCGGTGTAGCGGTGGGTGAAATGAACATGACCGCGGGAGACTTCGTTCTCTCCTACTCAACCCCAGAGTCCAGGGAGACGTTCGATGGGTTGGTGTCTTTATTCTTCATCGATACGGCTCCAAGCCTCATTCGATATATCGAGACAGTTCGCAATTGCTTGAAGGTTGGTGGTGTGTGGATCAACATCGGGCCCCTCTTGTGGCACTTTGACAACCGTGCTCCCGGAGGGAATACAGATGAAGATGAAGATGAAGACGAAGACGAAGACAGCGACGACGGCCAACCGGCCGAAGCTGGAACCAAAACCCAACCCAAACCCGACCTGGAAGACAAAGGCATCGGCGAACCGGGGTCCGTCGAACTCACAGATGAGGAAGTCGTTCAGCTCGTTTCACACCTGGGCTTTGAGGTGCTTTCCCACGAGATCCTCCCTGCAGATTCAGGCTACGTCCAGGACCCGAACAGCTTACTACAGAACCGGTACCGGTGCAGTCACTGGGTCGCGAGAAAGCTCTGATGCACACAACCTCGAGGCCCTTCTAGACCGACCCTCCCTTTCCAAAGCCCCCTGATCTCTGCTTGTACAGTCACAACGCACCGCCCTTTTTGTATGGCGACCGATGCCCATTCAAGAGCTAGATGGGGAGTTTCGCACTGAAGGGATAGATACCCAACTCATCCAGCAGCGAGGAATTCCCGCCATCTTGAGACGGTCAACTCGAACAGAGAGCCGTGGTAGTGGGATTGATTGGACACCGCACACACAGGCAAAGAGGAGGAATGGCATCTCTACCCTGCCTCTTAACTTATGGAACTCGGGGACAAGGGTGCGCCTGGAAGTCGTGTGGCAACCCATCCGTCCGGTCGTTGTTGAGATAAAGGACAGGACTGCATCAACTGGATTGCGCCATCGAGGATCCTGCAATTCTATCCGAGCTTTCTGCCGCATATCACATCTTCTTGCAGTTAAACATCCCGTTGGATTCAAAGGTTAAATCTGATTCGACCCATTTGGTTTATTGTATCTCGCGTCCTCCAAAAAATGTTATCCCTTTCGCTCATGGATAATATGCAACTCCTGGCTTTTTTCCCCCTTCTTAATCTTCACGTCGTGTCAACGGCATTGTGGCCACGACACCATCTTCAATCCTCAGAAGGCATGCATCTCAAGCTTGTGGTCCTTGCTCTGTGATCGTGTCCACATCAACAATCGTCAAAGTGTAGCCTGGCCCATATCGGGACATTCCCAAAGTCTCTTCTTTCTGTCCGCGCTGTCGTTGCTTCATATGTCGTCTGCAACCCTACCAGTCATTAAATCACCCATTTCTCTTTTCTCTTTACGTTCCTCTTGATTGCCATGCTTCCACTCTTGAAGTTGAGACCGTCCTTGTTGTCCAGGTGATATCCAGACTTCGATCCACGGGTCTATCTGAATCTTGCGCTGCATCTTCCCATCACTTCACCCTGGCACACCAATTCGGCATTAAACTCGGACCCATCCAATGTCAGGTAAATATCGAAGTACACTCTGTAGAATGTGCCCTGTGGAGTGTCCATTCTTTCAAAGTCCTTTTCGAGGTTCTTTCTTGACAAATCCGAAGTAAGAGTGACTACTTCCTTGATGCGTGGGTCTTTGGTATATTCGGGACTGTTACACGGTTAGCTGGACACCGCCTAGTAGGGCAAGGACGACCTAGGAAACTTACCAAACATCCTCATCGCATGCATAAAGAATGTCTTCGTACATCAATGTTGCCCCAGGTGCGACTTGTCTGAAGAACGAGACTTTGACCGGCTCACCAATCTTGACTCTCTCGCCCTTCTGAACGAAGATCTGTCTTGTATATTTACACCGATCCTTGCCGTCAAGGCTGGGCACGCGATATTGTTCAGGATGGTGACCTTCTTTGAATGGTTGAAGGGTCGCCATGAGATAATGTCGTCTCGCAACGCGGGAGGTGATGACGCGCTCAGTGATACCTGCCGTGACGGCGCCTTTGACAATTGCAGCCACCGAATCCATGGGTCTGACGACTTTAGATTGGAACTGAGGGGGAACATGCAGCTTGATCTGCTGGAAGAGATACTCGGATGCACCAAACCCACCCACCACAAGAACATTCTGTAACGATCTGTTCTGCGCTTGGATAGCGATAATTTGGTTGCGAACAAGCTCCAGGATCCTGTTGACCACGGGTTCGAAGCATTGAAGGATTTCCTCATTGGTGAACGTCATGTAGCCCTCTTCAATGCCGGCTTCGGGGAACTCAGCCTCGATACCAACGTCGACGGCCCATTTCTGACCGTTGTTGCGGAAATCTGCCTTTATTCTGTTTTCAAAGTCCATAATGCACTTGGCGTATACTCGGCCGGCGGTTTTCGATCCATCAGGCAACTTCATCTTCCTGATCTTTGCGCGCAAGATGTTGGAAAAGTTTCGGTTGAGAGCAGTAGAACCGCAGGAGTCGCCGCTTCCGGCCGTACATTCGGCAACAGTGAAGGGAGTTTCTTCTTCGACCTCATATGCAATCAGATCAACGGTGCCACCGCCGCAATCTACGATCAGGACCGCATCATGAATCTTGAGGTTGAGGAGGCCAGTCTTGGAACAGAACATGGCTGCGGCTTCGGGTTCGGTAATGAGCGTTAGTCGGTTGTCGTTCTCATCACGAATGAATCCGGCTTGAATGGCTGCCGCCCTGGTGGCTGCTTTGCCAGCATCGTTCCAGATAGCGGGCACGGTCAGAAAGTATCGGATATTCCGCTCTTCTCTGTTGAAGACCTCACCCAATGTCTTTTGCAACTGGACTCTCATGGCTTGCCGAAGTTTGAAGAGATAATCAGCTGCCACATCGATTTCGGACTTCCCAGGTGGTAGAGGAGGCAGGTTAATAGGGTCTATGTAAGTGTTGCCTGAGAGCATGAGTTGCAGTTTGAACCATTCGACCTTTTGCACGCCTGGTTTGGGATAACCTGTGGGAGCTAGGGCGTCCGCAATGTCTGGACCCCAGCCGACAACTTTCTGATATTGGTCATAGTATAGAACGGTGGGAATCTACTCTGGTCAGTCCTACGCCACAAGTTTTTGGCCGAGGTGTCTGCTCCGACCCACCTTTTGTTTTGTTTGATTGCCCGCACCTGGCCATTCTGTTATTATATCTTCTTTTGCTTCCGTGTTTGTCGCGAAGGCGAATGCCACACCCGAGAAAGTGGTGCCCTAAGCAAGAAAGAAGCCAGTCAGTAACCCACGCGATACGATTATCCTGAACAGTGCAAATCTTACAAAATCGATGCCAACAATCAGCTGGGCCTTGCTCCTCCCTGCACCCTCAACTTCTGCGGGACGAGCACCCGGCGGGTATTGATTGGCCATATGTTGGATGCCCGGTTGTGGACCGATAGTCTGATGCCCGTATGCACCGCCATACCCTGGGGGTTGAGGTGGACCCAACTGAGGGGCACCGCCAACATAAGCACCGGCCCTGGTATCGATGGGAGCAGGGTGGTGAGCCATTTGGTTCTGAGCAGGTGGCATTGGCGACTGAGGACGTCCCTGGACGGTGTTGTACTGGTAGCTGGGAGGACGTCCAGGCGCGCCTGGCTGGTTGGGATTCATGGGCGGCAGACTGGTTTGCGAGGAGTTTTGAGGAGGGGGAGGAGTCGTGGCGTTCGAGATGGAGCCGTTGGGTGAAGCGACCGACGTGGAAGTGGTTGAGGCGGATTGGATGTTGGCGCTGCTCTTTCGTTTGGAACCGAAGCCTAGAGACTTGAAGCGCGAGCTCATGACATCGACATTGAAGAGCAGAGCGAGGGAAAGAGCGAGTATAGGGAGCCGAGTGGTTTCGTTATGGTTGCAAGGAGTTTTGTTGTTTGGCGGCAGTCAACACGAGGTGATTTGGATTGGTAAGGCAAGACCAAGTCGGTGGCTGAGCGAAGGAAAGAGCACTGGCTTGGGGGCGACGATGGTACGACGAGGCAACCAGAACCCAAATTCTCAGTCAGTAGTGGTAAGTGCTGGGATGAGCAAGATTTGGGAATGGGGTGTTTTGAGAATTGGACAGACAGCTGAAGAAGAGGTATGTAGCGATAGAAGCAGAGAGGGACGTGCGGCTGCGGCTGTGTTGGATGCGCTGAAGAGGGCGGCTGACTACTAATTACTACCTGGTAGGTACTAATAGGGCAGACAACATCGCCGCGGCGGCCACGGTGCCCGTAATGATGCGTAATGGTACGGGGGGCAATGGGTACCGAACGGAAGACTAGTGGCTGTCTTCCCCTCCTAAATATCAGGCTGCGATACGAAGGATTTCAGTCCCGTTCGCCGTTCGCCGTCCTTCAGCCAAGTCAGAACTTGATTCATTCACTCGGGTCCCGGGATACTGCAGCTCGCCTGAACAACTACAGACTAATCGAATTGCCTCTTTTTTGCCATCAGTCGCATATTGCAGAAGACGCAGAAGATGAAAGAAAAGACAATGAACGCACAAAGGTGGTGGCCAAGATGGTGGGCTTCTAGCTTGTGCTAAGGGCTAGTGGTGGGCTCTAGTGGCTCTGCAGGGTGGTTCGTCTCGTATTGTCTGATGCCTAAAGTATTCGAGGGCTGATTTGGGGCTGAAAAACACTGACTTCTACCAGATCCCAGTCAGACGAACAGATAAAGAGCGGTGAAATCCACTCTTAAGAGGCACCGAGTACTTGTACCTACTCGGACACAGTGCTTTTTCAATCTTGTTCTTTCGAGCTCAGATCTATCCCAAGCGTCGCCGCAATGGCCACACCACCAAGATACCAAGACAGAATGGCAAGATGCTACTGGGAAAGACGCAGATACTAAGAGTCGATAGGGCTGACATACCGCCCCCTCCTTCATCTTCCATCGTCCACTCAAGGCTTGTCTGCGTCTTCGGCGGCCCAATCTAATCAAACTGGCTCGTTTCAGGCGTTGAACAAATGTGCAGTCTGATAATTTGATCCTCCCGCGCCTCGACGCCTGGCCTGCGTACAAGTACAAGAATGACAACGGTCGCCGTCTCAGACTCATCAGGCTTTGGACCATGTTCGCCTGTGCTATTTCCCCTTTGTTTCAGCCTTCTACAGCAAGCACCGAACGTTTTAGTCGGCTCATCCCACTACCCAGTACAATCAAAGAAGAGACATGTGGGTGGTCCCTGGCGAGATGCCCCACTGGAAAGAGACGCGGCTCAACCGTCGGACATGGGATTCCATCGGAAGCCGGTTGATCACACAGTTGTGCGCGACGCACGTACGGCTGACAGGAGCTGGCAGGCTGTTGTAGTGCTATCATTGGCTCGATGTTTCCGCGAATGCCAGGATCTGGGGTTGGGAATGTGTTGAACACAACCAAGAGCACAGACACGTGAGTTCCGTATGCGGTATTGAGGTATGCTCTTTGTATAGAGAGGTCGTATTGGTATTGAGCCTCCTACAAGGCCTCTACAAAGTGCTGCCTCTCTAGAGCCATGTGGGAATATATGTATCCCCTTCTGGTATATTCAAGTGAATGCCCAAAATATAGATTTTGTTGTGGCTCGCACGTATTGATGCAAGGGAAACAATTCAGATTCTTTTAACACAAGGTCTACAACTCGTCCTTGACGCTCTTCGTCGCCGTGGCGCTCGACGTTCCGGATGAGGTCGATGAAGTATTCGCTTTGGAAGTTTCGCCTCCACTCGTGCTCGAGGATTTGGTCTTCTTGACCTTTCCCTTTCCTGACTCTTTCTTTCCACTCCCTGTCTTCCCCTTTTTGGGGATCTCTTGCATTTTGATTGTTTTCATAATAGTATCCGAAACCACTTTCTGTAGTGCCAGCCCCCTAGTCTGCAATTCAGCAACCAGGAAAACTGGATCGTCGTGTAGCCCGAGTTTGTCTTGCAGGGCAAGTTTCTCGTCGAGCCATTCCTTGACCTCATCATACTTCGTTGTCAGAGCTGCAAGATCTTCATTCGTGTATTCGTACGGTTTGATCGGAGGCGGTTCGTCAGTCTGCGTTGCTTCGTCTACTGACGTGCTGCTATATGGGTCTTCGTCAAGGTCATCGCCGTCCGTTGGAGACGGGCCTGAAGCACTTGAAGCTGTAGACTCTACAGCTTCGCTTGCACTCGATGCCGCGTTTTCAGCAGCCTTCTTGATACTTCCTTCTACCATTGTTATCATGCCTTTCAAGCTCTCCAGCCCCTCCTTCAGGCTCCTGACAGCATCGGGCCGTTTTGTGGCTTCATCCTGTCGTTTCAATACGGGGTCGACTAGCGCATGGAGGTTCTTCAACTTGTCCTTGAAGTCTTGGAGATTGGCGTCAAGGCCGTCACCGTACAGCCACTCCGAGATGCTCGACAGCTGCTGTTCAAGTTCTTTCCGAACTGACTCGCTCGAGGCAGCAATGAAGCCCTCGTCCTCCAGATAGTCCCTGGCCCGGTACGTGAAGGCCTCGAGATTGTTCAAAGCCTCAGCCCGAAGGGCGGCATCCCGATCTGACATATCGAATTGAGTTAGACGCTGTCTGAGGCGAGGTAAAATTGAAGTGGGTGGAGCATTGAGCCCGATAACAGTTGATCTCAGGGCGATGGGGATTGAGACTGTTGTTGGCGTTGCTTTGCTTGCTTTGGCGACTTTGGTCGCCGAAGAGGACGAGGAAACGGATGACTCTGATGGCGATGGAGAGACAGATGACATGGTCGATCCAGAGCTTGTAGGATCGGACGCAGGCAATGGTGTTTGAGACTCAGCAGTCTCTCCACTAGCATCTTCGTCTCCAACAACCTTCTGCTCGCTGTCCTTCTTTGAGCCGAAGCCAAACAAGCCTTTGACGTTGTCAATGACGGTTCCGCCTTTGATGCTCTCGGTTTCGCAGCTGACAGACGCTGAAACAACTTCTGGCAATCCATCCACATGGCTCAACCGCATGGTGAAAACGGTGCTTATATTTGCCGCAGCACAACCATGCCTTTCCTTCAGCTCACCCACTGATTTCGTCAAGTTTGAAGCCCCAACCTCCGTTACAGGAACTTCTAGCTCCTTGACTGCCTGGGTGAAGCTTAAGGTGATATCTTCCAGCGTTTTGATGGGCACTTGCTTCTCAGCTCCAACTTGCGAGGTTGGGTGGAACAGTCTCTGTGTCCTTTCCTTGTTCTCGACACTCCATTTCAGGAGGAAGGAGAAGCCAGAAATATCTGTTCCTCGAATGTCTTTGACCCTAAAGCTAGGGCTCAAGGATGCAGCTTTGAAAGCTGCTCCCATTACCGCAGCCTCGTCAGCATTGACGTTGGTTTTCAGCTTGGATGGCCCGCCAGCCACCTTTTCGAGTTGCTTCTGCACGAAAGGAGTTCTCACTACTCCTCCGTGTAGGATTATTGAGTCTAGATCATCCAGTTGCAGCCCGGCGGACTGTATAGCCGCTTCGATCGGGGAGCCTACGCGTGAAGCATGGTCTGCGGCGAGTTCTTCGAACCTTTCCCGAGTGAGACTGTACTTGAACGTGATATCATCGTCATAAAGTCCTTCAAGAGTGGCCGATGAAACTGCGTTAGCACTGAGAAGCTGACGGACTCGCTCGGCCTCTTTCCAGATTCTCGCCATTGCTTTCCCGTGAGACGTGACTTGGTCACGACTCAGCCCTAGATTCTTCGCACTTGGTGACTCGAGAAACCGGGAGATGATGTCTTCGACAACAACGTCATTCAAAGAATCTCCACCTAGTGAGGCATCGGATCCCACACCAAGGGCGATGACTTCTTGGACAGTGGAATTCCGCTTTCCAGGACCTTTGATTGTCCTGCCTTGAAACTTGAGCACCGTTGCCGTTGTCGATCCAGCACCCATATCATAGACCAGATGGTACTCTGGCTTGGCACCATCAGTCACGCTGTCGAACGTCCGGTGCGTTGCATAGTTGAGGCCGACGGCGAGTCCATCGCTCACGAGACCTAGAACTCTCAAACCCGCCAGGTCCGCAGCCAACTGAATAGCTCGCTTCTCATCAGCGGTAAAGAACGCAGGATGCGTAATGACCACGTCCGTGACATGTACACCCTTCGCGACCATTGCTTCCGCATTGCTCTTGAGGTTTTTCAACTGCATGGCCAGGAGTTCTTCCACCATGAATATTTCGTCTTTCTTGGTCCCAAAGCTGTGACTCTTGAAGCCCACAGTTCCGCTGTTCTTTTCCGTTCCATTGCCTCTTGGGACGACTTCGAGATTCAAACCAGGATATCGGGTGGCGTAGGTCTTTACAGGGTCCGTAGAGTATTCCAGACCTAGTATACTCTTCAGATTGGGATAGACATCGCTCGGGAATCTCGCGGAAAGAGCCACGGCATCTCCTCCATATAGACGTTCGGGGAAGGCCTCGTCATCCTTTGTCTGAGTTCTGGAGGGTTTGAATGCGAGAGTAGCGGCTTCCCTTCTCTTGGAATCTTTGGATAGGACAATTTCAATAGGAGATCCAGGTTTGGCAATGGCTCCCTTCAGATATTCTGTCCCCAGATCTATGCCCAGGACTGCCGCTGCGGCATACGCGGTGGTGGAGAAAAGGAGGAGACACAGCGTCAGAAGGCTGAGAGTCGATAACTTCCGTCGTCCAGGCGGTGCCATTGTGTAAATGTAGAGATGTTGTGATCCGCACAGGGCGTAATGGTCGGATCTACAGTAAGTTAACTCAAGGAGAGAAGGATGTGGGAATCGAGGTGTGCGAGTGCATTTCAAGAATAATGCGCGGCGACGAATATGAAATACACGATTCTGAGCGGAGGAACAGTAAATCCAGTCTATGACACCGTTTTCATTTCTGATGCTCGCATGCTCATCCCCGTATCGACCGGCTTGTGAACAAGTTGTCCAGAAAATCGCAGGCACGAGTCATGCTGCTTGAAATGCATGAGTCGTGGGACCAACAAAAAAAGCATCGTCTGACATGGAATAAACGCCACCTCGAACATGGTTGAAGAGCTCTCGAGACCAACCAATCGACCACCCTATCCAATACTCAGATCGTAGAACGTCTGAAGCATAGCATGCTCGTAGGCCCATTTATATGTAAATATACTCCAGACACCTCTTTGCGGCTAAGAGACTGCTCACGCTGCCCTAACCTATGGATAATGGGTTAGCTCGACCCCTCCAAAAAGGCTGTCTGTCAGACACAATACTATCAAATTTCTGTCTTTCAGCCTCGACCACATGCACCGTCTTTACCTTCGACCTTCTGTTCCACAGTCAATGATGTCTTGTACCCTTTAATTATTGGCACTGTGACTCGAAGATCTCCTATTCACGGTCGAATGATCAAGGCTCACCCTTTTCAGAATGACGTTCTGCACCCACAATGCATGAAATCATAACCCTTCAGCTTGGCAACAAAAGTAACTATCTAGCGACCCATTTCTGGAACGCTCAGGTACCCTTCACTCAGCTGTATCCAGAAACCCTCTAATTTTCCCTTGAAAGGAATCTTATTTCACATATTCTCATGATGAGATATCCCTGGTCAACCCAGACATCCACTTTCGACCAGGCCTTGGTTCCGATGGATCAGAGACATTCACTCCTCGAACCATAATCTATGACCTGAAGGGTGGGTTTGGCACTCTCCGTAAATTCAATGCATTATATGACATCCAGGATGAGTCTCATCCTCCCCTGGGTCTTTGGTATGCCGTCTACCGAGACGTCGCTTGGTTGAATGAGACTCTAACCACATCCAGGGATGGCAACACCGCGCGACATCTACAACAGCCCATTGAGCCATCTGAGTTCCAAAGGAACCTAGATCTAGGTCTCCCGACTGCTCAACTCCACGCCTCGGACGTGAGGTATTGGTCTGATTTCAACCGAGTCTTCTATCACCCTAGATCCATCGTCCAGCTCCACGAGTACGAATTGAACTCGCAACTGATGCCCTTTGAAAACTGGTCGGCAGGCGGAGACTTGTTTGAAAGCCTGGACAAGGAGGTTGATCTGCTTGATCGTGATGTCAGACCGTTCGTAGAAGAATGCGATCAAGTGCAGGGTTTTCAACTGTTCACTGGGGCGGATGACGCTTGGGGAGGGTTTGCTGCAAAGTATGTGGATAATGTGAGAGACGAGTATGGTAGGACAAGTATCTGGGTCTGGGGGATGGAAGATGGTTCCAGGGCCACCAGGGTATGTCCACACCAGTTCTCAGCAGACAGATTGCTCAGTTGGACTAGGAAAAACGATCGGTGAGGGCGTGCAATGCCGCGAGAACCCTTCAGTCAATTGGTCAGCAAGCATCAGCATACGTCCGACTTGCTACTCCTCCGGCAGTCCTCCCTCAGTACGTACACCTCGACGATGGTTCTGCCTGGATGAGTACTGCGCTCCTCTGTGCGGGCGTCGAATCTGTTACACTTCCGACAAGACTCCATGCCGAAGTAGGGAAAAGAGGCTCGTTGGGTCTACTCGAGGACACTTTGAATACCAATGGGGTTCAAAATGTGTTTGAGCTTCATGCAAGCGTCACGAGTTCAAATGTTGGTGCAAGCCATTCTTCCAACGGAGTTGCAAGGGTGCAAGGGAACGGGCATGAAGAAAATCAAAGTGCCAATGTGCCAGAGCCGTCAGATTTCGACTTGGACTACAGCCCGAGTCTCAGCAACCCGTCAGCCAGGAGGTCTAATCACGTTTTTGCCCAGGTGGAATGTGAGCGTGACCACCTCGAGTCAGGCACTCGACCGTTGACCCTTAACCCGGAGGAGCGGCTTCGAAGAAGACTGAACGAGGAGAGCGTGGTAGAGCTGTGAGTCGATCCCCTCGCTTGTTTTCCCCCGCCGCGCAAAGCGCATACTATCCCACAAAGAAGAGAAATCGACAACAAAAGACTGACACACGCTCAGATTTCAGACTAGCCTCCAATTTCCTCTGCTTGACACATTTCCAGACACACTCTTCGAGACCAGTCGACGGCCCAGCGGGTTAGACGTTTCGGCAGCCTTGGGATGCAATTCCAGAATGAAGAGCAGGATTCTTGACCTGAGGGACCTGACTGCCCGCCTAATGCCACGGGAAGAACGGGAGGCACACTACAACGACTTGACACAAATGGCCCAGAACTACGGCATTGGGTGGGAGTCAGGATCAGATTCTGGGATCGACGATGAGTGAAGCCCTGCTGTGACACAAGAGCTCCGGGAATACGAGTGACCCATAAGTCAAAAAGATGCATGGAATAGCCCAGTCTGGGACATTGTTGCCGAAGTCGAATGTGGTCGAAGTTCCGTTCTCGAAACAGCAAAGTTTGTTTATCAATATAAGCCAATGATACACATCGGGTTTGTGGGCCACCAGGCGCATGATGTGATTCCTCCCTCCAACCATACCCAGTATCTAGGGCCTGTGGCCAGCTATACTAGGACATGCCAACCTGAAGGCCGGTCCGGATTTGTGTGGAACTTTTTGCAGGAAAGCTACGGCGAGGTTGAGCAAAGCTCATAGCGAGACAAAAGCACGTCAATTCCGTCATACCATGTCGAGCTGACGGAAAAGATCTGCTAGTTCCAACGCCTATCGTCTAGCTTCTGCCTATCGGTGCCCAACAAGGTTCCGAGCGGAAGCCAATCGATAGATATACAGAGTAGTACGAGGAGAGCCCGGCTCAACGCCCGGCTGGTGCTATGGGAACAAGAGAGACAGTGACAAAGTACGAGGTACCTCTTTGCTGAAAGGGTCTGAATGAGCATGCGAGGGAGATCCAAAAGGAACGATACGGTTGGCACTGAGGCAGGTACATGGAGTCAGCGGGAGGAAAAAGTCTTGCAGAGCTTTTCCTACTGGGCCGAGACCGTCAGAAATTCCCCGAGGACGCTCTTGCGTGCTGAAGGGAACGTGGAAAAACAGGGATGGATCCTTCACTATTTGAAAGGCTTGACCGAAAGGTTAACCAATAATCGACTGGTTCCTGGATCCACTAGCTGCTAAAGTGAGACATTACAGTCTTGGCACCCCACAGAGTCTTTTTCCAACTCCCTAGCAATTGCCCAACCTCCTTCTCCAAGCTCCTCTAAACGACCATCAACCTTTTCTGCTCAGTTGCCGAAGCCTACCATTAGTGGCTTCGGTTGGCGTCGACCATGTTCGGTGGGATCCGGCAGTCTCAAGAATACCGTGGCTACCACGGTCATGCGATCACGCTACGAGACATCGAAGGCAAACAAGAGCTCTTTGTGGGGGCGCAGTGACAGGGATCACTATGTTTGGTTGACAATTTCTGACCTCATTGGAGTACCTACTAACGGATGAGGTAGCCACTCGGTCCTAGCAACGCTTCCACGCTTCCACTCCTGCCTGGACCTCCTCAGCTCTCTGGCACCCATCCCCATCCAGTTTCTTGCTCAACCCTGGTACTTGCTCTTGAGCTACCTACAGCAGCATTATGGTCACACAGCCGAGAGACTATGACCATTGTCCAACTGAGATGCTTGCATGAGGCTGGAGGCATTACAACCAGCTACGTGATACTACATTCACCATGGTCAACAGGAAGCCTGGCCTTCTTTGGCGCATGCAAGTGCATGATAACTACCGACTGCTCGTACGGACTCTCCCGCCTGAAGAGGTTGGTTACTCGCGGGCAAGCCACGAGACATTCTCCCCATTTTTCTTCTTACGTACTTTAATTGGTCAATGACGGAGAATACACTAACCAGTGTGCTAGAGTACCAACTCGTATTGGAGGATGCTATTCCCAGGCTGAACCGGTTGGCATGGCCTTTTGGAACCCCACTCTGGTACACTCTACCGGGCTGGGAAAACTCGGTTGATACCCTATGGTCTCCACAGTGTTCCTCGTCTAGGTATGTCGGTATCCACCCTCCACTACAACCATGACATGATTCTGAGAGGAACAGGCTTGGTGTCATGGGACGATACTGCAAGTTCGCTATCCTCGCCACATCCCCAGCACTTTTCGATTCATTCCTCGCCTCTCCATAGGTACCATGCTCCATGCTCGCATGACAGAATCCACAGTCAAAGAAGCTTGAGGGAGGTGCCTTCTCGGCTGGGGATTGACACTACAAAATCGGCCACCTCCCCATCCTCATCTGTCTCTCTTTTTCCTTCCTCCATCATATTCCCGTCTCCGACCGGCTATCCCTCGCTTTGTACCTCGTACACGGAGCTCCTTCGCTAAGGCTCTGGACATTGGCATTTGCTCTCGCAACCTTTCCAATCTCTATATCATAATCTACCCCACATATCACATATTCGTCCAACATGCAGTCGTCTCTCATTCTGTTGGCTGTCGCCAGCCTGGCAAATGCCGGAAACGTTTATAGAAGAGAGAGCTCAACTTGGGCTGACTGGTCTTCGACTACCACCACGACCTCGACCACCACGACCACGACTCCCTCGTCAACTGTCGCCCCTACCACGTGGAATGACTGGACCAGCACAACGACGTCAACGACGACAACGACTACTCCTTCGTCAACTGTCGCCCCCACCTCGTGGAATGACTGGACCAGCACCACCACGACTACAACTCCCTCGTCGACTGTCGCCCCTACCACGTGGAACGACTGGACCAGCACCACCACGACTACGACGACAAAGACTGTCGCCCCTACTACGTGGAATGACTGGACCAGCACCACCACGACTACGACGAAGTCCGTCGCACCCACCACGTGGAATGACTGGACCAGCACCACGACCACAAAGTCCGTCGCTCCCACTACGTGGAATGACTGGACGAGCACAACGACGACAAAGTCCGTCGCACCCACCACGTGGAATGACTGGACCAGCACCACGACCACAAAGTCCGTCGCTCCCACTACGTGGAATGACTGGACCAGCACCACGACCACAAAGTCTGTCGCACCCACCTCCCACTGGAATGACTGGACTAGCGCAACGACGACTACCCCTGTTCCCGTCCAGCCTACGACCTCTCATTGGCAAGATTGGACTAGCACAACGACGACTACTCCGGTTCCCGTCCAGCCTACGACCTCTCATTGGCAAGATTGGACTAGCACAACGACGACTACTCCGGTTCCCGCCCAGCCTACGACCTCTCATTGGCAAGATTGGACTAGCACAACGACGACTACTCCGGTTCCCGTTCAGCCCACGACCTCTCAGTGGCAAGATTGGACTCCTGCACCTGCCCCGGCCCCTGTCGAGAGTACTCCATCGCCCGTTACCAGCTGGGCTGAGTGGTCAACTCCTTCGGCGCCTGAGTTTAGCACCTGGGCCACTATCGCTGTGAGCAGCAGCACATATGCTCCGCCTCCTGCGCCAGTCGTCAGCAGCAGCGTCTGGACAAGCGTCGCTCCGGTCGCTAGCACTACTGCCCCTGCTCCGGTAGCGACGTACACCGGCGCTGCTAGCAGCAACAACAAGCCTGCCGTGGCGCTCCTTGCCGGTATTGTTGGCTTGGTCGCCCTGGCATAAGTGCGAATGACCCAAACTGGCTCTCCAGATACTGGGGAGTTCAGAGAAAGGTTTAAAAAACAGAAAACAAAAAGCACATTCTTCAATTCACCAATCACGTCTTTCCGTCGATCCCTCTCAGGCCGACATGCTGTATATAGCATGTCATCAGTGGAAGGAAATAACGACAAATGACGTCGGTCCTTTATTGTTTCAGGCACTCGAACAAAGAGTCACACTTTTGTTAATTCCCGGCTCATCCCTGGAACCAGACCACGGGCATGAGCGTACGATCCTTAAACGACTGCAAGAGATACGAGACACACTCCTTACGACATAAAAAGAAAGAGAAGAGAAAATCCACGCTCCTTAACGACCAATGTCAAAATCATGCATAGTTTGCACAGCATCTGTTTTTTGGAAGGTGCCTGTTGCTTTGAAACTAATATCTCCCACCGCATGGGGAGGGAAGGAAGGGGGAGGGGAATGGAACTGGGTTGGATTATATGGGAAGATGGGATGGTGATGCATCCTCAAGAGGAGAAATTGTAGCCACCTACATGACTGGGCTCATTGAGTTTAGTTTCTGCATATAGTTCCATCCGCCTGCGGTATAACTCCCGTCGGAGAGAATTGGTAATCAATATATATATCGCCCTTGTATAGATATCTTCGTGAAGCGGAAAGGGGAACGACAGTAGCTTGTCGTTACCATTCCATTTCTTTGATCCTCGAAATCCAATGGAAACTGTTCTGCCTTGTCTCTGTTCATCACTATTTTCTTATCTTGTTTGGCGGAAAACCCTAGGGGATGTGAAGGTGGTCAACAAACTCGACGTTGATTGGTCTACGCGCAGAGAGCGAGGAGAATAGAGGCGCTGTCGGCGATGAAGAAAGGAGCTCTCAATGCACGCGGGCACAACACCTAAGCTAGAGATCAGCGTTGGATTTAAGCACACCGATTGAAGTAGCTATACCGAGCGTGGGCTGTCTATGACGTAATGGGAATGATGGATGTCACCGACGTACTCCAACATGACACCAGTACGAGGTAGTTGTTCCTACTCGGTGACTCGGTGCCCGTCGCGCGGGTTGCCAGCCCAGCGTGCCCCGTTGATAATCTCGACATGTCTTGATTGCTGTCGACACCTCCTGCGAGCCTTTTTTTTGCCTCTATCATCGATGAAGTATGACGTTATGATAATGAGTAGGTGTATCTTATCGCTGGGCTTTGATTGCCTTGAGTCGCTTCATTGCGAGGCCAAAGAAGGTATCTCCTGGGACATGGGGTCAATAATCCGAAGCCTGTAATAACAGGTGGAAAGCCTGTTCTGACAGGCGGAATTCCCGTCATGAAGGTGAAAATGTGAAGAAAGTTGAAATTTATAGGTGAGGTGAAAGTGAGAAAGTGAGGTAAAAGTGGCAGACAGAAGGGAGGGGGGAAGAGGGAGTATTCGATGCGCAAGGCTGGACTCAGTACCAACTAATAATCAGGACTTGTTGAGGTAGGTTTTGGCGTCTTGACTGGTCATTTGCTGCCCTCCTCGTCCAACACTTGACATTGTAAGTTAAGTACGAAGAGGGACAAGAGCTCCCCAGAGTGCACCTTATTTACTATTATCCCCTCGTTTTGATTTGGTTGGACCCCTATCTTAACGTACAAAATTCTCTGAATGGTCTCCATCGCCACCTTGGTCACGTTTGATCCTGGAGTGCCTCTGCGATATTGTCGCGTGCCCGTTCCCTTTGTGCTGGAGAGTTCTGGCACGACATTGAAAAGAAAAGAGTCCGTTGGGGACAACACATGAACAGGACGTGATGGAGGTGGGGGTGGACGACTCGAAGTCCTGAGTGTTCGTTCCTGCTCCATTTGGCGCTCAATTTGTTCCACTTCCGCCCCGATCTGCTCCTCTTCAGAGGGCCCCTTGAGGGGCTTGGTGCTTCTCGGCAGGCAGCCTGGTCATCGCGGCAGTCTCACCAAGCCTCTCGAAGTTGCTCATGGGGGTCACCGAGGCAGTGGGAGAGGGAAATGTGCATTCGACCCACAAGGCTGTTCTCGGTGCTTGTAGACTAAGGTGTTAGCAGTCCATGGCTGCACGGTACTCTCTGATTGCCTCGTCAAAGGGAACATCTCCAAAATCTTCCATATGTCCATCATCCGGATGCAGTGGCACTGGCCCCGGCCATACCGAACCCCCATCGCGTGGTCCTACCTGATAAAACCGCCTGCACTCCTTTTCATCAGTCTTGTTGCAGCCAAACAACCGCATCTGGATCACTGAGGGCACCAGGCCATTCGGATCTTTACGTGTGTTGACCGCCCCACGGTCAATGAGCGCGCGCATCAACATGCGACAGCTGTAGGTGTGGGATTTGTCTGGGTACTTCTCTGTATTGGCAAGTTTCCACAAAAGCTCCAAAGGCGTGCCTTGTGGACCAAGTTGATTGATATTCACACCTCTTCCCACAAGGAGGTCAATTATTTGCACGGTAATGTTCATTCCATGAGTAAGCGGTCTTGCGATATAGTGCAGTACACCTCCCAAAGGGCCGCAAGTGCCATCGACTTGGACCCCCCTGTCAATCAGCATGACGAGTGTCTCTTGTGCGTCTCGTACGTAGTTTTTCCTGGTCCCAGGGTAAACGCTAGCCGCATGAGCGAAAGCCAGTAATGGCCAGCACACGTTGCCTTCCGGGTAGTCAGATATCCAGGCCAGATAGAGTCCTACCTCGAACTGGTCATGTTTCAGCGAAGTAATGTCTCCTGGATGATATTTTAACAATAATCTCAAGAGCCGGGGTAAGCAATAACAGATCGCTGCCGTAATTTCAATATCTTCCACGATCAGACACTGTTCAAGTAAGAAATAGACACTGTCGGGGATATCGTGAACTGCCAGCGCCAATACAAGGGAGAACTGAGACTTGACGGCGGCCTTCTTGAGGATTCTGAGAGCCTTCCCAGAAGCATGTGCCTTGCTTGGATATATCATCTCGAGGAATCTGTCCACAATGTCCTTGGAGTATTTTGTCACTTGTCTCTCTTGTAGCTCTCGCACAACGTCTTCCACAAAACGACACATGTCATGAACCGCAGCAAGATGAACAAGTTCGACCTTGAACTTGTCCGCTTCCGAAAGAAGCCGGAGCCCTCCGCAACGCTGACACGCGTTACAGGGGTCCAGATGTAAGTCTAGAAAGAAAGAACCGGCGAGCGTCTCAATTAATGGATATGACGAGGTCGCCGACGTCTTTTCGTAGCGACTAGCATGGTCGAGTACGTTGCGGCTGGTATGGCCTAGTAATAGAGCTTGCATCGCCAGATCGTTCATTGGCTGTTCGTTGGTAGAGCTTGGCTGGTCAAGCTCGTCGCCGGCACCTTTTGGAGAAAGATCCCACTCAAATGTAGGATCTACTGGCTGTAGATAGGCCATCTTCGATTCCCCATCCACGACCGTCCGCGCACAGATTTCGATCCATGTTTTATCTCCCAAAGCTGAGTGGTAAATATCACCCAGGATCTCCTTCCAGCCACCTCGATCCAGGTACGTTCTCACCGTCCGATGAATCAAGCGTGGCACTCTGCTAAGCCACCAAGTCGACTCAACGCGTACTCGTGCCTTGAGAATTTCCACTGTGCCGCCCGTTACAACCAACAAACGTTTCGAGAATTCAATCTCGTCACCTTGCGCAGCTAAGAGTATGACACTGTCGGGACGCAGTGATGAGGATGGCGGAAGATAAGAGATGGCGATCTGTAGCATTCTTGACGAGACAATGTCGAGTCCGTAGCAAATCAGCAGTAAAAGGAGGCCTGCCAGCTTTCTCTCATTTGAAGGACAGCGCTGGAATATGCGCGAGTAGATTTGTTGTAGCTCTGGGGGCATTTCTTCCAATCTTTGCATCAACGCGGCAGATTCCAACTTCTCGCCACGGGTCAGTCCTTTGATCAACTCAAATATCGCGAATCTTGCCCACAGGAAGACGCCCTGTGACCTTTGTGCAACGGTATCTGCTAGGGTAAGTAAAATAGACGGGGAATATCGCTGTTCAGAAAAGAATTGTTCGAGGACATGTAGGCCAAACATTTTGATAGGCCTGAAATTGAGATCTTCCATCTTGAACGAAGGTAGCCCAGCAAAGGCATCTGGAAAGGGAGGGTCAGGTCGGCTAGCAAGACAAATTTTGATCTTGTCGCCCTGCAGGGCTTTGACGAAGTTGCAGAGTTCGCTCTGTTCACCCTCGTACTCATCCAGACCGTCCAGCAGAATTATCAAATGTGAACAGCTCCGAATTCCTTCAAGGAGTGCTGTCCTCAAGACATCAATAGGTAAGGGCTTCGCAACAGAATGATCAATTTGTTGCTGAGCATTGCTAGTGACGATTCTCGCAAGATCTGGAACGGCTCGGGAGACATTGGGGAGGTCCTCGCATAATTGACGCAGCAGAGACCGAAGGAAACCCTCCATATTGTTGCCAATCGCACTTCCAGCTCGAAAATCGAAAAAGAAGTGAATGATCTTCCAGGGCTTTTCATGAGAGTTGTTCAATATCTTGCGGGTATTCCCGGCTTTGCGAATGTAGTTCAGGAGTGTGCTCTTCCCGGAAGCCGGCTTTCCATATATCCAGAAGATAGAGCTATCGTTCTCAAGCCAAGTTTTGAAAGGTGTATCCCAGATCCAGGTGAATGTTTTCTCCGGCGTGTCGAGGTCACTCAGTTGTTGTTCGCGAATGCACCTGTCCGTGAAATCGAGAGCTTCCATCAGCGCTATGGGAGATGTCAGTGTAATCAGGACTCGAGGGGCCGGCATTACTGCGACAGTCTAGTTAGAACACACCTGCACGTTCAGCTTGCTGGGTCTGTTCCCTCAGTCTCTGCGCGCTGGTGGTTCTTTCAATCTCGTGCAGATATTCTGTTAATCTCGATCGAAAATCCACATAACCTTGCGACTGCGCAGACTGGAATCGTACCATTCCCATGTGGTTTTCATTGATAAACATGCTGGTTTCAATGTCTCTGCGGTTGAACGAGGAGGATGAATCTTCTACCACCTAAACCGATGTGTCAGCCTAGACTGAGGATGTCTTTCTTGCGGCCCTACCTTTCCAATGGGAAAGAATTTCAGACCAGTCACAGCCTTCCCTTCTTGAAAACTACATATTTGAAGTTTATCACGAGGTGGAATATCTTCGTTGAGTAAGTCGTTAAAGTCGCGCTCAACAGCGCTGAGCTTCTCCCCGTTGCGCTGCAGCTCTCTCATGATCTGCTTGTTAACTCGGAGGCCACAGATATCGAGGATCTTGCCCAAGGACTCGCCGTAAGTAGCCGCGTCTGAACCATTATGGGGTGTCCCAAAGAAGAAAATGGCGGCACAGGAGCAGCTGATATCCAGGACCGCAGGCTGGTGTTTGAATTTCCTGGATTCAATGATGGCGTCCTCAACCAGGATGCCTCCGAGACTGTGAGCCACGAATATGATCGGCCGTCCTTGACAACCACTTCTCGTAGTCCTGATGCGCTGGAGGAGATTTTGGGCATGTTGAGAAATGGTCATCTGATTGCCCCCAGCCAGAAATCGTGTCGGGTGTGAGTCGTAGCCGCAAGTGAGGACTCGTACATTGTCAAAATCATTCGGGATCAGATCGAGGGGCCAGTAGCACCCTCGACCCTTTGGTGCAGCCGCCTGCGAAGTGTTGTCACTTGTCTGCTGTGGCGCTTCATGTTTCCGGCCAAGTATCCTCGAGAGCACACGTCTTCTTGACCCTGTATCAGCCCGCAGGTATTGTAACGGTGCTGCCTTTGGATGACACCACGTCTTGAAGGGATGTCCCATTAGGCCATGGACAAAATAGATATCCGCGACGATCTGCGCAGGATCGCTTGGGCACCATAGCTCCGTAATGCCATCGTCCAAGATCTGAGGAAGTGGATGCTGGGCCGGTGGGATGGTCTCAGGCGTAGGCAATGCATGTGCTGCTTCGGTGGTCTCTGAAGTGTTTTGAAGTTGCAGGCGGTCGGGATGGACTCGCGACTGTCTTCTGCTCTCGTCAGAGGCCATTGCTTAGGGCCGCGAGCCACACAGGTGTGGACAAGCAGGAGCCGTCTCGGTTGAAGAGAGGGAGCTAAACAGGCAGCGGCAAGAGTGCTCAACTCTCTCACTGAGGACAAGGATGAGGCTGCGAGCCATGATCTGGCCGTCATGTAGTCGACGGTACAAGGTAGGCTGAACATCTGCAGCCACCGCAGGCGCGTAGGCGACCATCATTGGTTTGATGAAGGTCCCGGGATGTTGGACTCGTTAAGTGGTTAAGTGGTCAGTGTGGCTTGGGGACGACATGGGTTGCCAGAAATGCCCAACTAACGCAGGCGAGGCACCCTTCACCTGCACAGCTGCAAAGCTCATCCAGTGGTGGCTTCCATCTCCAATCAATACAATAACTTACAAAAAAAAAAGCTCTTATTCTGCGTACGCCCGATACACAACCAACCTATCGTCCGCGACCATGTCAACGTCCACGCCGTGGCCCACGAAAAAGATGCTTCCCCCTTTCAACTCATATTCCCGTCCACCGCCATTCATTTTCCCACCCCCGTCTGTGACTACCATGATACTTGGCCCCGCGATACCTTTGACCACTTCCTTCTCGCCCCCTGACAGCTCCGTGACAAGCATATTGAACTCGCTCATCGGCGGCTTGAACTCGTCCGTCTTGCCGTTCTGACTCTTGTCGCTGGCTTGTCGCTTGAGGACGGGCTCTGATGGGTCGTGTTGTTTGAATGTCAGTGACCTGGCGAACAGATCGACTGAATCGCGATCCGCCCTTGGACAGAATCCCGTATTGATGACATTGTTCGACCTCGCCATGCACTCGACAATGTCACCCGAGAGGTAAGCGTGGATGCCATCCGCAGGGATGTACAGTGCCGAGCCCACATCCAGCACCAAGAAATTCATACAGACCAACGCCACTAGACTCCCGTTGTCCTGCCTACCATATTGTTCCTGCAACCTTTGGGCCAAATCGAGCACATACCCCTGGTTTCCCAATTGGTCCGCCCGCGTCGCCAACAGGCCCTTCATCGTCTTTGCGACGACATCTTCCTCCGCCTTCAGCATGTTTGTACAAATCTGCCGCAGAGTCTCGTCATCGCTCAAAGTCAAGCCCTCGGTAGTGGTGGGCAGGAATGGTTTGAGAGGTTCCAACTTCATCAACTCCTGGATGTCTACGAGGGGCTTGAACCCGACAAAAGCCTCGAATCTGGACAGAGCGACGGCGATCTCGGGCTTGTGGTTGGGATCTGGGAACTGGTCCGGGCTGTCCTTGTGCAGCTTCTCCGACAGTTTCTTGTCCGGGTGAATCTGCAGCGGGAGCGCCTTTGCAATGGACAAGATCTTGGGGAGGAAAGGCAGGTCGGCCCCGAATTTTTCGTACACTTTTTTGCCTACCAGCTCCTCCTTGTGCTGTTTCAGGATCTCCTGCAAATCCTGGCCTGTCTCGAGCGAGAAGGACGGCAGTTCCGGGTATGTTCCCATCCACATCTCGGCGTACTCCTTGGAGTCGTCGAGCTGAAAGTCGGGATTCGTCTTGGAGCAGAGCCGGGCGGCCAGTGACTCGCGACCCTTTCTGCCCCAGGGGTAGTTGTTGCAATTGCATTTCAGCTGGATCACCGATTCGACCATGGCTGTGGACTATAAAGGAAGGAAGAAAATACTGAGAATGGAGTCGAAGGCCTGCTATATCTGAGTCAAGAAGGAAATGGCATCTCACTGTTCGAATACGTATCCACCTAGAACTTCTTCTTCACTTGTACTCGGTCGCCATCTTTCCATTGTCGTTATCATGATGTAAATTCGCCTATGATGTCAGTTCTCAGCCATTGCTCAACCGCAACACGGAATTTCAGTCCGTAGGCAACATGGGACCGTAGGGCTTCGCGACGAATGGACTCGTCGAGGTACATTATTTGATTCTGCGGTGAGGTCTCTGGCAGTTCTCAGAGTGTAGCGTTCGCTGCGTCAAGAACTTGACCATTTTATAGTAAGGCTCAGTTGACGCAGAGAAATCAGAGACAGAGTCGGACCAAAATTGTTCGTCTGACAAGGTACAAAAGGTGCAAAGAAGTGGGAAAGCCACCAGAACATAAATTGTCAGACAGAATAAAATCCACGGGTATCAGTCCGCCCATAAAAAAACCCATAACTACCTAGATACCTAATATCACATCTAACCCGGTGAAAAAGTCCTTTTCCATTCAATCATCATATCCTTTTCCAAGTCGTATCCATAATACAAACCAATCAGCAACACACCGGATGAAGACATCACAAAACCCCACCAGAATAACCAAAATAAAACGACCAACGCAGAACATACATTTGCCGTTCTTCTCCTCAAAAATCGCGGTAATACCTCGTGTCCAGGCTAGCAGACGGATCCAGTGTACCCAAGTTCTCATCGCCCAACCTGGTGCCAAAGGCTAACCCACCCACAGAGTCTTCCAAGTCCAGGTCTAGATTGGCACCCGAGAAGTCCTGGAATGGGATATTAAGAGCCTCAAAGTTGATTGCCGATTCCGGTACTGGACTCGCTTCTTTCGGGAGTTCCGGTCCTTTTCGCTTACCCCTATTTTTGCCCACTTTTGATGTTGGTTTAGCTTTGGGCCGTGTCCCAGATGTAGACGTCGAAGAGGACGCTGATGCCGATGACGAGGCGTGACCAAGACTACCATAGCCCGAATCGACCGAGGAGGTTGTGGAGTGCTTCGGCTTCAGCTCAGAAGCTCCTGTCAATGTTCCCTCAGTGGAATCATTCAAGCTGGAAAGCTTGACCGGATTGAATTCTGTGACTGACGGAGCTACTGCTGTTCCCTGCATGTTGTTGAGCTCCTTAAAGGCTGAGGCGAAATCAAAGTCGAAGTCAGGTGACACTGTGTCCGTCGATATAGCCAGACCGAGCTCGTCTCCATGGCTCCAGCTGTTGCATTCGTCGTCATACCGGTCATTCTCTGGATCAACAGCCAAAGGAATGGGGAAGGTCACTCCAGCGGGCGACTCTGCCACGGTCAGAACCTCCTGAGCAGGTTCTGGGGTATTGAGCTTGGGTGCAGTCCTAGCCGGGAAAGGGCGACTGAAGCTTTGGCGATGACCTGGTAGAAGCAAGTGTGACTCAACCCCTGTCCTGCTTGCGGAACCAGGCCCATGGATGGGTGAAGGAGGAATGGAAGACACCGGTGTCAGGGAGATTGAGCTACGTCGAGCTGAACCCGGCGGTTGGGCCGAACAGGGCGACACTTCAACAGACGGATTCCCTAAAGAAGGACTGTTGACAGGCCTCAACCTCTGGAGTACTTCGGTCATGGAGGCTCTCAGCTGCTCACGGATGAGTTGTCGCGCCTCCGCTGACTGAAGCCACCCCTGACCAGGGACATTTGTGAGCTGATCCAGGCGAGATTCAAAGACTTCCCCTAGAACATCCATTGTGTCCTGGGTTTCCGCCGGCCCTGGACTTTGTGCCGAAGATTCACCCGTGTTGTCGGCGTATGGGCTTGTTGGCTGTGGTAGTCCCGGAAACAGGATGCCGTAGATTGTGTACCAAACCTTCTCAGGAGTGCTGGCCGGTCGTTTACGCCGAATCTCGTTGTACTGTGCCTCGTCAAACTTCTCTGGGAACGGGCACTCGACAAGTGCACAGGGTGCTGTCCCTCGGATATGTTGGTCTAGTTGGTCCTTGCGGTCAAACTTCGTATAGCACCGCATGCAGTGGATGCGGCGCCAATGGACCCGATAGAGATGCTGCTTGAGTCGCGAGATGTCAGGCCAGTATCCACTTGAGCAGCCTCGATAATGCTTCTCGTGCGAATTCTGTTCCGAATACCTCGATTTGTCAAATCTAGAGAAAGGACAGGCGAATAGTTTCTCTGGCATCGAATCGGGGTCTTGTTTGATCTTCTTCGGCGTTCCTCCTGCAGTATCCTCGTCGTCTTCATCGGGGTCCTGTCCGCCGCTGCTTGGCGTACGTTTTGGCGAGGACTTATGATTCGAGCCAGTGGAATTGGACGGTGAAACCATCACGGATCCGGTGCCCGCTTTGCGTTTGGTGGCATGCGTTCTTATATTTTTGTTCTGGGAGTAATCATCAGAACAAAGATGAGCTGCAAGAAATGGCAGGGTAGATCTACGAAACGAGTTTAGGTGAGGGAGAATACATACCTGTGACAGATCTTGGAACTGTGCACCGAGTCCGGCGGACAGTTCCGACATTTGTCTTGCAATTGCTGATTGCATATTGAGAGTGAACATCTGCTGTTTCACGTGAAGAGCGGCCTCCTGTTCTCTGAGCAAGGCCTGCTGCTCTCGCACAGCGGCCTCTCGTTCTCGCAAGGTAAGCTCCTTTTCCCGGAATGCCATATCTTGTTCACGTCGACGGAAATCAAGCTCTTGCGCATCCATAGATCTCTGGGATTGGTGCATGCTCCGTTGTTGAGCTTCATGTGATATCTTCTGTTCTAGAATATCGTTGTATGCCCATGGACTGTCTGCCGAAATCGTTGCCTGGGTGGGCGATTCGGTCCACCGGTTGTGGTGGGAAGGGAAATCCGACAGATTCAACCCCCACATGGCTGTGGCGTATTGCTGTACTTCTGAGCGAGACTGTTCGCTACTCACGTTGGCGACGTCCACTTTGTGAGGGGCCGTTGGACGAGAAACACTCCGCACCCTTTCCGTAAGGTTATGGCGACAGCTCCAGCCGGCCTGATCACATGAGGAACACAGAATGCGGTCGCCATTGTCGCAAATCGAGCAGTGGTAGTAGATCTGGTGCAGACGAATGGGGCTCTGACATGAGTCGCACCGCATGGACCTTGGAGTCGTAGGAGCAACGTTCGCTCTTGCGTCGTCGTTCTCGGTAGGTGATAGCTTGTCCTTTTCTTTCAATGCGTGAGCGTCTTCTAACAGGACAACAGGTTCGTTCTTCTGGGTCCTCGTCGAGTCTTGAAACGGCGTATATTGCGGCAATTCGGCCGGAAGCTCAGCAATTTCGGCGGATGGAGGGGGTGAAGGAGAAGGATTGAGATAGTCTCGGAACTCCTGTTTGCTGTCGAAGTCGTCCAGTGAGGGCGGATCCGCTCTATCTCTCCGAACATGTCGACTGAGTTTGTTCAACGGAGTCTTCAGGCTGAAACTCTTGACTACTTGTGAGGCTATGCTCCTCGTGCTCTTCGTGCGGAGTGGGATCGAGTCTCCTCTGGTCGTCGCCCACCTCCGGGACGCAGCAACTTCAGCAGCCAGTGCCGCGCGGCGCAATTGGTCCTCCTCTTTTTGTGCCTTGCGCAGTTCTTTCTCCTCCTTTTTCATATGCTTCCTCAAACGCTTCTGGTATTTGCGTTGCTGACTGAGAGTTTCTACCCTTAGCGGGGGTCGAGGTGGGCACGGATCTTGAAGCTCGGAATCGATGTCCGGCGTCCATGATGGCGCTGACGGCGGGGCACACGGAGGGCTGATTGCAGAGATAGGTGACCCTCTGTATAAACTTAATGAAGCAGCTTCTGTCTCCCGTTGTATGGTTGACAGGGAGTTGAGGCTGTTTGACCGATTTAGCGGACAGGGCAAAGGATCTGAGGCGGGGATATCGTGGAAATGGCCCGGGCGATAAGGATAAGGAAGGGTTCTCGTTTTGCGTAACACTGCCCGATGCAAAGATCCCAGTGCATCTGGAGGAGTCCACGATTGTTTGGACCGTAGAGCTTTCTGTGTCTGGTCGGCGATCAGGAGTTCTTTGATATCATTGGTATGCTCCTCGTGGGTGCTGATCCGCGCCCGAATATCAGGCTGATCCCGAGTGCGGAGAGCCAAATCAGCCATGTTTTGTGAGGAAACGGGATTGTTCTGGTACGAAAAGAGACAGGTCGTGGCGAGACTTGGTCTCAGAGGTGGCAAGACGATGGCAAACACATTCGGGAGAAGGAGTCGATCATGACTGAGGCAGCAGAGCTGCTGTCGAGGAGACAAGAGGATATTATGATGGAGCTTTGTGAGAAAGACTCACTTTTGTTCAATGAATGGCATGGGGCAGCCCAGCAGACTGCCTGCCCGCAACTGCCTGCAGCCGAGTGCTCCCCCCCGGTCAAAGGGCAAAGGGCTGCTGTTCGTTAGGCGGGCGTGCCCAATGGGCATTCCCAGTAGGACAGTGTGGCCCATTAATCCCGCTGCCTGTGCGATTGGCCTTTCCCCATCCCGAACGGGGCGCCTGAGGCTCCCAAGCCACGATCAAGCCACAGAAACACCACGCACCAGCCATAGTGCAGGGTCGAGTCTGCCTTGCCCAGAAGGGCCCTAACCCAGGCAATGCTAGCGGATGAGGGAGGAACCTCGATGTGTTTTCCGTATGACAAGTGAGGGAGACAAGGGAGAGCACATCAGCACAGTCGTCGCCGCCGTCAGACAATTCTGATTTTCCTTCCCTGGATCGCCCGCCACGGCTTTCCATGACGTGCTTTTCGTCAGGGATTCTCTAATATCTCTCAAACAATTGTTCGCGACCGAGCAGCTACCACTGTGACATCTTTTCCCCAAGTTTTCCGTCTTCCAACTTCACCATGGAAGCCGCCGCCAGAAGATTCTTCACCTCACCGTACTTTGCGGTGGTTGGCGCAAGTCAAGACAAGAGCAAGTTTGGGTACAGGATATTGGCGTGGTACCATGTCTACTCGCTGCCGGTGACACCAATCAATCCGACTCGGCCATCGATATCCCTGCCATCCAAGACATACCCCACCGTGCCGACGGTCACGGCTCTTCCTCACCCGTCCCAGACGGCACTGTCATTTCTCACGCCGCCTGCAGTCACGAGGAAAGTCCTGGAGGAGGCTAAGGCGGCCGGAGTGAAAGCTGTGTGGCTACAGCCGGGGAGCTTCGAGGACCAGGACCTAGAGTACGCCAAGGAGAACTTTGAGTCGGCCGTGGGAGGGTTTGAGGACGGCACGGTGGGCGGAGAGGGCTGGTGTGTGTTAGTCGACGGCGAGAACATGCTGAGAGCAGTAGGCAGGAAGTTTGAGAGGCAGAAGCTGTAGGCGAGGAGTACAGTTGGTATTGGGCCATCTGCTATATTACGACCAAGAGATGTCAGACGGGTGCAAATTCCCACAATAACAGCAACACCATATTGTCCTTGTCTTGAGACATGCTGTTGTTGCGCCTCCGCCCTCATCTTGAGCTATATCGTCCGCGTCACACTCTTCCGCCGATGTCCAAAGTCAAAGTTTGCTAGGGCATCTCCTTCCTCAACCGTCGCTACTCCTCCTTCAACCCGGGCATTTCGCAACTCTTCCTCGGTGATTGTCTTGATCGGTCCTTGAAACCAGTGCATAGCACCCCATACGGGGAAGAACCATCCCACCAAGCTAATGACTGTGATAATACCAATGCAAATAGGCGCATAGTTCAGAGTTTCCGCGTCCACCGGGTACAACTGTGGCAGGAGAAGAACTGCAAAAAGGAACAAGATGTATACCGTGGCTATAGTGGCCAGTGGTGCAGAGAACCTTCCCAAGTTCCACTTCGCCGGCACAAACGACTTGCGTCCCACTGTCTGTCTCGCGATTATAGGGATCAGATACGAGAAGTTGGTGGCGATCGTGGCGGTAGCCGTGATTGCTGAGAATGCGACTGTGGAACCAATGACGGCTGTGGTGATGGCAACAGACATGCAGAACACGAGCAGTGCGGCATTTACCGCCATCTTGCGCTTGGAGAGCTTCCTGAAGAAGAAGCTGAAGGGGAGCACCCCGTCGCGGGAGATGGCATAAGTAACTCGCTGGGCTGACATGAAGCAACTCGCTGTCGCGCACGTGCTGTCGACCCAGAGCAGCGAGAGGATGGCGACCGCACCGTTCTCTCCAATAAGCTGAACGAGATACTCCGCCCAGTTATTTGCATAAGTTGCTGAGATGATACCTTCAAAATCTTGCATGCAGAAAAGAATGATGATGAGGGTAGGCACCGACAAGATCCAGGCCGAGAAAGTGGACACTGCAAATAGCTATGAGTCCCCATAGTCAACAACCCCAGGAGAAAAAGAAACAGACTTACTGTAGATCCCTTTGGCGACAACGGTTGAGGCTTGCTTGGTTTCTTCAGCCAGATGCGCAGAGGCGTCGTACCCGTAGAAGACCCAAGCTCCGAACAGGACGGAAATGACCCTTGTAAAACGACGTCAGTTATGAGCGAAGGAGCGGCGCATTGAGGTCCAAATGCTGTAACTCACCAACAGTACCCATCTGAGGCCTGCTTCTTGTCTCCCAAATTGATGCCGTTGTAGAACAAATCAAACGCCCCTCGGCTGCTGTTGAAATGCTTCTCGGAAGCCTTGATTGGAAACCAGATCCAGTACATGAAGAAGAGCGAGAAGAAGATTGCGACCGCAAAGCGGAAATAGTACTGGAGCAACTTCGAGTTGTAGATGTTTGGAATCATGGCAAAGATCATGCCAATGCTCGTGAGCAGCCACAAGAACCAGCCCTTGTGGAGAACTTCGGCGTCAGGATATTTTATCATCAAAGCCGAGACCAAGAAGTTGGTAGAGCCTTGCTGGACCCCTGGAACTATGGAAATCCAGCTGAAGAAGCAGGAGGAAGGAGAACAATTAGTCTTGCAATTATCTATGGAAGAGAGTGCAGAAGAGAGAACTATATACTAGTCTGTTGACAAACGCACGCGTCACCACCACTGCCTCTACAAAGTAGTGATTGTGAAGACCTACAGTCTTGGCAAGGTAGTGACACTGAGGTCCTAACTACCTTGGCAAGGTAGTTCAGTGAAGTACCAGCTTCAACACTCCCCCTTCCAGCCGGAGCCTCCGTAGGAGGCGACGGCGCGGAATAAAAAAAAGAAATGAAGCGGGACGAACCCATCAACTCAAAAGTGGGCAAATGCCTAGTTGAGCAACTAAATATTTGAAAGTAATAACCGGGAGAGTTTTTGTGAAAGCATCAGCAAGATTGTCTTTGGATGCGATCTTGAGAACACGAATTTCACCACTTTCAACTTTCTCCCGAATGAAGTGGAACCGAATGTCGATATGTTTTGTCCGATTATGTATGAGAGGGTTTTCGGCGAGGTCGATTGCTGCCTTGTTGTCAATGTACAAAGGAACACTCTCAACAGAGATGCCTGGAATGTTGAGGTCATTGATGATATTGCGTAGCCAAACGGCCTCTTTTGTTGCTTCAGATGCTGCCATGTACTCGGCCTCACAAGTGGATGTAGTAACAGAGCGTTGTCTCTGAGATTTCCATGAGATAGGTGAGCCACCGAGCATGAATACCCAACCTGTGGTCGATCTCCGAGTATCTTCACAGTTCGCATAATCACTGTCAGAGTAACCGACAAGCTCGAAGGATTCTTGTCGAAAATGCAATCCGTGAGGTGCATCTGTACCCTTCAGATATGCGAAAACCCGTACGACAGCGTCCATATGTTGTAGACAAGGGTCTGCACAGAATCGAGCAACGAGAGCAGTATCGTGCGCAATATCAGGTCGAGTTATCATAGCAAGCCAATTGAGAGTGCCCACCATTGCTTGATATTGCTTGAGGAATACTTCATCAGCTTTCTTCGAGATGTATTGAGGGTCACAATCGTCGCCAACAGGCCGAGATTTTCGTAGTCGTAGGTTGGCGTTTCCAGGAGAGGGTGCGATAGGTATATCCTCGAGTCCGTATCTGATCAAAGCCTGTTTGACAAAAGTGGATTGCGATATCGATATCTCTCCAAGACTGAGGTCAACCTGCATACCAAGATACCAAGAACATTGACCTTCATCCGTCATATCGAATTTGGAGATGAGATCATTCTTGAAAGCTTGAATGTTCGAAATCTGACTCCCAAACAAGAGGATATCATCCACCCACAGCACCAAATAGAGCTGAAGGTTCTCTTGAATGAACAGGCACGGATCATAGGGGGAGACACGCCAGCCAAGGGCTAGAAGAGTTACCATGAATGTATCATACCATCCTCTGGATGCCTGTTTCAAACCATATAAAGCCTTCTTCAAAAGAAGTACTTTGCCTTTCTCAACTGGGAAGTGTTGCGGAGCCCGCACATAGACTCGTTCCTTCAAAAGGCTGTTGAGGAAGGCAGTCTTGATGTCAACCTGATGAATGTCCCATCCCAGGTAAGATGCTATCGCAAACAAGATTCGGTATGTCGTGTGTTTCGCAACAGGGGCATAGGTCTGGAAGTAATCAACCCCTTCCACTTGCTGAAAACCTCGAGCTACCACACGTGCTTTCCATCTGACAATCTCACCAGTAGGTCCTAGCTTTTCCTTATAGACCCAGCGTAGTGTGAGAGGTTTACAACCGTCAGGTAGATCAACAACCTCAAAGACACGCTTTTCCTTTACACTATCCCATTCCTTAAGCATAGCTGTTTCCCATCGGGGCCAGTCTGGGGATTGACGTGCTTCGGTGTAGGATCTCGGTTCAGGGGCCGGTACATTCCTGAGGGAGAGACCGGCAAACTTGCTCGCAAAGCTTCGAATCTTGGCAATAGACGTTGAAAGTGAATCATGTGTATCCACAGTTTCATCATTGTCGAAGGCAATCTCGGATGTCGTAGTAGGTTCGTCATGATATTCTTCATCATTGTCAAAATCGTAGTCTGAGGCACAATCAACCGAAGAAGATCGTTCACATGACTCGTTAACAGTTCTCATCCCCTCAAAATGGTTCAAGCGCGAGGGGTCCGATTCAGAAGCATTATCGTTGTGAATGAAGAATGTTTGGACATCTCCAGAGACAGCTCCCTGATGTAGCTCTGCGTACGGTGTAAGAACAGGGGCATGACCAGGCATGACATATCCCATTCTCAAAGGTAACCCATAAGTGCGTTCAGCCCACATTTGCACAGCTAAACTGACTTGATCGACATGAAGATTGTTGGTATTGTGGAGACCGACCTCGACCATGCGAGCATAAAATTCATCAGACCGCAGCCAACCATGAAGCTCATCAAAGTCTGGGACAGGTATATCATGTCCAGCGTCCTTCATAGCACGAAGAGAGTGTATAGCGGCGTGTAATCCGCATAATAGGCCTCTCCCACTAGTTGGAATAAGTTCGTATGCGATTGGAAATAGAGCGCGAAATGCCAGACTTGCGGGCGAATCGTCGAGGGCATGATCAACAGTCCTACAGAGAGTGTCGGGTGATATATCGTCATCAGAATTTGCGTCGGAGTCTGATCCCTTGGCTATTGCCAGCACACGTTCGGTAAGTTGTTTTCCTCGTCGTTCTTTGGAATAGTTCGCTTTAACAAAGCGAAAAGATAGTGCTCCTTTACTCCGTAAGTCGCGGTAAGTGAACTCACTCGGAATATCTGGGTCTAGGACAACCTCATTGTCTTGAAGTTTCCAGCGCAACGTAGGTATTCTAACAGCCATACCATCATCATTGTTCGTGTAGAATTTGCAAAAAGCAATCTTTTCTTTCATGACGACACAATATCGACAGGGATGGAGGCCATCATCGCCTGAACCAGAGCATGTGCGACCAGTAGCGGAACAGCTTGCACACTCACCAGGATCCTTTCGGCGCCAAGCTTCGATCTCGTCTTTCTTAACAGGGTAGACATAGGTAACAAGGTTATCCACGTCAATATCGACGCATCGGCGAGGACGAATATGCCCAGCAGTAGCAATGCATGACTGGCAAGGTCGGCCAAAGTCGCATTTGAGACCACTCCTTGGGTCCTGGCATCGCATACACTTTGTTGGACGAGGCTCATTCTGTGGTCGGCACAGATAAGGTCTCTTCAAGACATTAGTACATCTTGAACATGGGAAGACACCGTCACAGGCATGAAGTGTGCCACATTGCTTGCATCTATCCTTATATGGCACAGTGCCAGGTAATTGTGGCAAACATCGTCTCTTCAATGACTTGCAGAGAGAGCATGGCACTCCATCGCACTTGAAAGAGTTTAGATAGCAATGCTGGCATGAAGATCCCAAAACAGAGATTTTGCCTTCTATCAGTGTTTGTGTTCGCTTGGCATCACATGGTCTGCAAATTTTCCCCAAAAGACTCGGAAATACCCTCGATAGGTCTTTGTTTCCACAGACTGAGCATTCATCAGGAATGGGGAGCTTGGATGCGCAAGTAGGACAAAGAAGTCCTTCCTCAGTTTCCACTTGCTTGATGGTAGAACGAAGACATTTCAGGCACTGGTGTTTAGGTCTATCCTTGTTTCGTCTGCGTTCGCAATTGTTGCAGATCATACCAAGTTCGGAATAGCACCAATTGCCTCGGGAAGTTCGAGTGGAGGAGCATATGGAGCATTTTTCTGGCTTCGGTATCTGCTTCCGACATGCATCACACAGATTGCCAAGATGAGTTGAATACAACTTCTTGGTCTTATGACATTGATCACACTCTTGGCCAATTGAGTTAGCGCTCGGAAGGCTTTCCAGCCACTTTCTGCGTCTAGTTTCTTGTTCTTGTCTTAGAGAGAATTCTTCCAGTCGGGCTGCCTTTGCGCGATCTTTATCAAGAACAACATCTTCAGACACGTCACTTCCTGCTTCGTTATCATTGTCGCCAGACCGACTTAAGTCATCATCAAGCCTCTTGCGCTTGTTGCCTATGGTCATAAATGCAACATATCCGCCGAAGAAGTGTGATCTGATGGGTGCCTCTAAGGTGCTCGGTTGGGATGGTGATTCGCTCTCATCACCGTCTTCGCTGGGTACATTGCCAGCTCCCCCGTAGTCAAAAGGGTCACCGTCAGATTCAAGATCAAAATTTTCCATAACGCCTCGTACAAGATCAACATCTTCAGGATCGTTTTGTCCCAAGGGGTTATGCTGAATAGGTGTGGGGGGATTATGGCTATCCTCAACCACAGGAGTCTGTTGTCTCCGCATATGTTCAATTTCAGCACTTGATCTGGCGATTGCGTCCCGCTCTGGAGTTGATGGGCGGCGTGCAGGGTATGAAATTGGCGAATATCGCGACGGGGAGCGGGTGGTAGCTTGATTATCGATACGCAAGTCGTCATCATCAACATTCAATAGTTCGTCATTTGGGGGTGGTAGATCTTGATCGCTCAAAACGGAGCCTTCTTCATCATCAATGTCTTCGCCAGAGAATTCATCGTTTACCTGTATTGAAGGATCAACACGAGGCATAGAGATCCGAAATACCTGGTCTCTCTGTGGATCATAGATCTTGTAACCGCATTCGCCGATGCATCCGACGATGTTGCCTTGCCAGCCTCGTGGGGTGTGCAGCTTATCAGTGACTCCACGCGTCTCGGGTGGTGTCGTCACAAAAGCTACACTCCCCCAGACCTTCTCGCACGATAGATCCGGAATCGTTCCCCTGAGTAATTCCCACGGTGTTTTGTAGGTCTTGCGAACACGGGTAGGAGTACGATTTTTGAGGCGGACAGCATGTAACATGGCTTCAGGCCAAAGTTTCTCAGGGACCTGGCAATTGCGTAAAAATTCCTGCATTCGAGCGTCAAACGTGCGAATGATGATCTCGGGAAGACGAGGATGTTGGATGCAAGTTGCAGCCTTATCGCGAATAGTACGATTGACGCGCTCAGCTACTCCATTCATGTAGTGTGCATAGGGGAAAGAAGGCTCGATAACGATACCCTTTCGCTGGGCCCAGTCCTTGAATACGTTTGCTTTAGCGATTTCACCATCGAGGCGGTAAGATCGAATCTTGATCTTGAAGTATTTTTCAATCTCCCTATGGAGAATCATCAACCGATTGGCAACACCTTCTCTAGTCGACAGGGGAATGGCCCAAGTATATCGTGTTGTGTCATCCGTGCAGAAGAGAAAGTATGCGGTCCCATCATAGCTAGGAATCGCATAGGGACCCCATATATCCACGTGCATCAGGTCACCAGGCTCCTCAAATTCCCGGCTCGCCGGGTCTCTTGGAATTCGTACGATGGCTTTAGTTGTGGCACATGTAGGGCATATCTCCTTGACTTTAGCCTTCAGCTGTGCGTCCGTGAGATTCATTCCTGTCGAGTGTTGCAGAAGTTTGCGCATGGCTTCGATGCTGGGGTGGCCTAGACGGGCGTGCCATGACCAGACAGGGTGATTGAAATCAACATTGCAGGCGATGATGTTGTTCGCTGATGTAGGTAGAAGAGAGGATTGAACAGGGAGTAGAAATAGCCCGTTCACTTCAATAGCGTAGCAGACAATCTCATCACGATAATTCACGGTGATCCGGTCATTTTTCCAGGTCCCATGAAAGTTGCCGTTCTTGCTCAATGCCGACATGGAAACAAGGTTGCATCGGGAGTTAGGCACGTAAAGCGCATTACCAAACTCCATCTCGACAAGCTCGCCTTCAGGAGTTGTCACAGAGATTACCGCCCTACCTTCTCCCATAACGGGCATAGAGGCAGTTCCATCAGCAGTGCTGATATCGAGACTGAGTGGATGCATCTCAATGAAGAATCGGATGTCATTAATAATATGAGCATTGCAGCCGGAATCCATCAGCCATGAGGCTCTATCGATGTTTGCTATGTCTGCTGCCAGAAATACATCCTGAGTCTGTCTACTCATCGTAGCACTGACTCCCCCATGATATGCACTGTCTGAGACCTGCTCCCCCGATCCTTCCACAGCGAAAACTTCAGTTGAAAAATCAACCTGAATACTGGGATCAGCGTGGATTCGGTGGGTAGCAAGGACAGGCATACCTAGGAGCTCTGAAGAAATGGGAGAGAAGGTGTTGTTGCGAGTGGTCTTGACAGCGACGAGATCGACGACAGCAAGTGCAGCAAAGCGACGAGTGTTGTTGTTGGCTTTATTGTTACCATTGGTAGCATTGCCGGTGTTGTCACCAGAAACAGTGGTGATCTTCTCTTGCTTAACAGCAATATTCTTCTCCAGGAGTTTGGCCTGGACATCGGGGTTGGTGCTGCGACATTCTGCATACACATGACCGAAACGATTGCAGCCAGTACACTTAGGACGATCTTTATTGCCACCATTTTGTTTACCAGAGCCACCCTCTCTATGATCTTTGTCATCTCTGTTGGAGGCAGCCTTCTGCTTGTTTTGTTTGGCTCGCTCTCTCATGCGAGGCTCGATGGCTAGAAGCTTGGCAGTGATGTCATCAAGGGCTGGGGCTGTATCCACAATCAAAATGTTGTTTTGAACAAAGTCATCGTAATCCTTTGGGAGGCTTCGCGAAATCTTGTTGATGATTTGTTCGTCGGTGTATTGTCCTTTGGCTTGCGTGATCTGGTAGCGACACTCGGTGATTTCATCGAGAAACTGCGATGTGGTTTTGTTGAGAGTGAGTCGAATGCTCTCCATCTTGGTGTATGCACTTTGTCGGACGCGATAGTCGCTTGCTTTGTATTGCGCCTTGAGGAATTGATATGCCGCCTGAGGCAGCTTGTGCTCAAAGAGGCGGGGACGAATAGATGGGGCGACACTGAAGTGTATGAGGCTCAACGCTTCACGCAGGCGTTTTTGCTGTTCGCGGTAATCCTCGAGCGCGTATCGAAAGAGTGCCTCACCCTTCTGGGTATCGGTGAACGCGGTATGGTCCGGTTTGTTGAGCAGAACTTCGGTGCCTTCGATGAGTCCTGTGACATCCTTATGATTGGCAGCAGCCAGGAAGTCGCGCGACCAGGTGTTGAAATTCTCCTGGCCCTCAAGCTGGGTGATGCCATAGTTGAGGAAGGGGTTCAGGTCGGCCGAGGCCGCGTCGCTGAAGTGTGCCATGCCTACACGCCGCAAGGCTGTGTAGAGGGATGAACTAATGATGTAATCCTATCCTTCAGCGCCTTCATACAAAGGAACTCATAACCTGAAGAAGCAGGAGGAAGGAGAACAATTAGTCTTGCAATTATCTATGGAAGAGAGTGCAGAAGAGAGAACTATATACTAGTCTGTTGACAAACGCACGCGTCACCACCACTGCCTCTACAAAGTAGTGATTGTGAAGACCTACAGTCTTGGCAAGGTAGTGACACTGAGGTCCTAACTACCTTGGCAAGGTAGTTCAGTGAAGTACCAGCTTCAACACCAGCCTGCAAAATTCCACCATGCTGTCATCCAGCTGAGGAAGGGACCATACTTCTCTCCGCCTAGACGGTAGCTCCAGAAGTAGATGCCGCCGGTGGTGGGTAGCGCAGCGGCCAGCTCTGCCATGACCAAGCTCACGATGCAGGAAAGGCCACCAATCATTGTCCAGTTGGCGAATGCTGCTTGGGGTCCTCCGGTGTACATAACCCACCCAAATAAGACAGGAATACCAGAGATGAAGTTCATAGAAGTGAATGTCGCGGCCCAACTCTCGAAGAAGCCCAGGGATCGAATGAACTCTTGTTTGTATCCCAGGGTGGCAAGATGGTATTCATCGTGGGTGAGGACGACGCCGACGTCGACGTTGTCGTGAGCGCCATCTTTGATGGAGGGCGGATCAGATGGAGTGGATGTATCTTTGACATCCATCTGTGTCAAATCTTTCTCAGCTGTAGAAGCCATGGTGAGGAGGAGGACGAGGAGGCCAGATGGTGGGAGAGATGTGCGAGACGTGCATCCTGGAACTGCCGTTGATCTTCCATATGTAGTGACAGGACCCTGACGACTCTCGGAATGCAACTCTTTTCGGACTTCTGCACTGTTGGAATAGCTCGTCGAAGGCGACAATGATGATCCCTATCAGAGGTTAGCCTGCAGAAGTCCGTTATCAAGGCAGCCAGCCCTGGCGGAGAGCTTTTGCAGAGACGCCATACCTATTGAAGTTCAAAGATGCGGAGAAACAGCCACGACGAGTTGTTGGAAGGAGAAGACCCGCGTTGGTGGCAGAGGCTAGCGAGTCTTATCAAGCTTGATTCAGCGTAGCAGATTCTAGGCCTGGTTGGGGTAATGAAACGACCAGCCACTGATTGTGGTGAATGGAAGCAGGCCAATACCGCAGCCTTTGATAAGAGTGGTCGAGAAGGTGACATGGCTTTTGCACTACCGGCTGTCATCTTTGGCCATATCTGCATAAAATCCATGCGCAACGTGTTCGAGGGTACCGGCGTGCCGGGTCTGCCACGTGGGATGGAGGGAGTTCGGAACAGGAGGGAGATGGAGACAGAGCCGCGAGAAATGGCCCTCTGCCAAAATTGATGGTTGCAGGCGCAGCGTGTGGTACCGGTTTCATCGATGGAGAAAAAGGGTTGTGGATGATAACAATGGAATTTGAATCGTGATTCTTCTTTCACCTGTCCTCATGGGTAAGTTACCCAGATAGGCAGGGACTTACTCATCTTGGCGGGGAAGCCTTGGCGTTGTCACATCTATATCAGTCGCGTCACAGACTATCGTGCCTATCGACTGAGCATTTTCACCCTTTCTAGCGCTTCATCAATGGCCACACTCACCACACACCGAAGTGGAAAGGATGAGAACCAGACAGCAGATTGATATACGATCCACCCCGTGGAACAAAATATTTGTCCATCATCTCATTGCAGCTTCGGGGCCAATAAAACCAACTGTGCGACTTTTGAGACTATCAAATACATAAAGGGTGTGTGGCATATGAGATATCACTCCTCTACAGAGTAGTTATATCGTCCACGGCATTTACCTTCCCGTTTTCTTCCTCTCCAGATACCGCAAGGGAAAGTAGCAAACCACGGTGATGGCGCCAGACATGTAGATACCGACGTCACCACCGAATGGTCCGAATTTCGCAGCAATAGGTCCGACGTACTGGAAGACACCTGTTAGTAACTACTTTGGCCAGATAGGAACACGCGAATATCACAGTGACTTACCCAAACTTGCGCCATACCGGGCAGACCACCAGCCAGATATCCTGCCAGAAGGGAGAAGACAGCCGCGGCACCCCATGGCAGCTTGTCAGGCATATCCCACACTTCGAGGTTGTACCCTTCACCCGATCGCTTGCGAAAGAATTGGTCTTCAATTAGAAGAATGAGGGTGAAGGAGATGGTCCAGTAACCCAACAAGGACACAAAATCTGAAACAATGTTGGACAGATGGTCCTTTCCAGCAATGGCGAGCAGCGCCACCACCAAAGCGACCAAAAAGGACCAGATAAATCTGGGCACGGCATGGAAGTAGTGACCGAGAAGTTGGATGGATAGACCGGAGGAGTAGTTGATGGCAATGTTGTTGCCCAAGACGCTGAAGGTGAGTATAACCAGGCAAAATTTGGCCCAGCCGACGGGATGGTAGATCTCGCGCAACAAGCCGCCCAGGCCATGGTTCTCATAAGCATCCGAGTAAGGTGGATATGCGTTCAGGATAGCGGCGTTCCCAATGCAGGAACCGATGACCGTCACGAAGACGGTTGGGATGGTAATCCCGGCCAGAGTCAGGAAGAAGATCTTCCAGGTCTTTGTGCTTGCAGGGTAATTGCAATAGTAGTCGGCGGCGATGGAGCACCAGCCAGAAGAGCTAGAGAAGCAGATGGCCATGAAACTGAGCCACGAGCCAGCAATCTCCAGGTTTGAAGCAGGGAATCCAGGTGCATTGGGTCCGACATGCGGCGCCGCCTGACCGATCAAGACGCACAGGAGAATAAAAGATACAATCCAGCTGTACTTTTCAAAGGTGTGGATGATGGCAAAGCCAAACACCGAAACCACGTAGGACACGATGGCGACAATCACGCAGCCCACGGCGATGGTCATTGAGTAGTCCGAGACAGCGCTGAGCATTTGACCAGTAATGACCACATTGACCACAGCAAAACCACCGCCAACGATCACGTTGAGAACACTGCAGAGCTTGGCTCCCCAGAAACCAAAGGAATATCGGGATGTGGCGATTTGACGAAGTCCAGTCTTAGGTCCCAGGGTACCAGTATATGCCGTGCAGAGCGCTCCCAGGATGGTGCCCACCACCACCGCTGCGACGGATTGGCCTAGGGTCAAGCCAAATTCGGGTCCCAGCACGCCGAGCGGAAGGGTGCCAACGTGGCAGGTCATTGAAAACCACATGAAAAAGGTGTTGATCAGGGCAGGCGGCCGTTTCTCTTCCTCGGGGATGCGATCGATCCCCTGGGTTTCGATACCCATCTTTTCATCGAGCCATGTCTCGCCCCTGCTCAGCCACCGAAGAGGCGCGAGGCTGGTCTGAATGTGTCTTGCTTTTGCTATTTCATATGCTGGAGTCACACTGCCATGACGGACTTCGGGCTCGACTGCCTCGTTGACGTCGGGGAGCTTTTCGATGTCGATATCTTTTGACGGCGCTCCAGAGGAGCTGGTTGGCTCAATGGCGGCCATTTTGTGACGACAAAGTATGCCTGGTGCCTCACGGGAAACAGGGTCGTCGAGCGAAGGCAAAAAGAGCAAGGTAAGGAACGAGAAGCACTCGGTCACACAAGGCCGGAGACATGGACGACCAACAGCCATTAAATATAGCAGTGACGCTACTGTAATAGATAACAGACGGGCACGGTAGGAGACACTGTCCCACACACCAAGTATTGCTTCGCGAGCTTGATCGTATCTTAGCTTCGTCAAGCCCTCCACTGGCGACCAAAGGGGTGCCGTTCAAACGGGCGAGTCCCGTTCCGGAGGGGTGGAAATACGACTCTGCATCTCCACAGAAGGATGATCTCGAAGATATTAGCGAGTGAGAAACGCGGAGAGCGCCGATGATTGCACCGGATGGCACAGACCAGAGATCAAGTGGGAAATGGCAGGCGAGCCTTTGATAAGGGCGATCCAGTCATGAGCCTGGGATGGCAGGTCAGCGCCACATCTCCGATGCTGCAATTACGCGGGCCATGGTCTGCCTTTGGGAACAGGTCCGGTTGCTGGCGTCGTTGGATGTGCTATCTCGCAAGTCTCGAGTTTAGCTGTGCAATCATTCTGCCACTGAAAGGGCCACACGAGTATTTGTGTACTTGTGCAGAGCTTCGCGAGGGGTTCTTGCGACAAGCGAGGTGCTGGGAATCTTCCTCCTCGATTGTGATGCCCGCCTCTTTGAATGCGTTTTGTCAGACTGCGTGCTCTCTTACGCCCTTTTTCAACTGCGCTCAGTCCCCGATAAGTCCGTCAGCATTTGATACCGTGTACCTTGTAGGGTTGGGTTCGTCTCGATCGCGCAGCAAGTATTTGTTTGAGGAGGTTGCTTTACCGTGTTATTTGAAAGATGAGCTCGTGGGCTCGATGGGCAAATGGGCCCAGAGCTCACGCGGGGCTCAGCGCCGCTTTTGTCACGCACTCACTTACTTGATCATGTTCTTCTCTTACCTAAAAGTGCACCCAGTCCTCGCCTTGCCCGCTCGACACCTCTCAACCGGCGCATCGACTTGGTTAGCCATCTAGGGGGCGATAGCTTTGTCAAATTGCAGACTACGCCTCCCGCACCCTGTCGCCCTGTCTAAATGCCTACAAAGTAAACAGTGCTACTACATAGTCCTTCGTTGGGTCGCGAAATCTTGTAGGAATACGAGGATTCCTTGAGCAGCACAACAGCTCACGGCCCAGGTGAGATGGTATCAAGCACTGCGTCGCTAGCAGGCAAGGGAGCGTTCTTTTATCGGTCGAGACACAGGGCCAGACATCGCTACTCACTGCACTCAAAGGGCGAGATCAATAGTGGTGGCATCAGGTGAAGGTGAGATGGAGTCCCCACATGAGGACAAGGTTGAACTTGGCCACAACACCAAGCTTGCTCAAGCTCATCTGGGCATTTGCTTGGATGTAGGGATGACTGGTTCTGGGCTTCTGAGCGGCCTACTTCCTGCAAGCCCAGAAAGGAAGAGGCCGCCCGGGACTTTAGGAGTCGGAGACTAGGGGGAAAAGGAAGTTTCGGCCAGCCCCGAGACGAAAGAACGAGGGAGTGACACAAGGATTTACGAGAAGTAAGAACTTGAGGCCAACGAGGGAGAAACGACCATCCTTATCTATGACCATTATCGCGATGTTCTACTCGATAGATTTCTGGCCCTATCAATGAGGATGGTCATGATCAACCATTTGACCTTCTTATGAAGTAGGACTGATGCTACCTACCGACAACACCAGAGCATTCGCCAATCAAGACATCCATAAACGAGCATCAACTCAGTACTCGTATGTCTCGCCGGGGACCGAGTAATACCTCGTGGCACCCCTGCACTTAGAATCGCTAATCAACGCGTCAACCAAGACCACAGGAGTCGCAAAATCAGGCCCCTGCTTGTGCCACTATTCTCTCTATCTCTACCTGAAATATTCCCTGCGGACAATCAGAAACTCCTAGGCCGCTATGGCCATCGCCACCGACATCCCCATCATCGACTTCTCCCTGGCCACCTCGTCGCCGGAGGAGGTGGCCAGAGACCTGCTCAGAGCGTGTACTGACTGGGGTGAGAGCCCGCACCCTTACCACCATGCACAAGGCAGTACTGGTCCCCGTACTCGTACGAGTCGTGGTACTGGCAAACAGAATGTGTGGTCCATACTTACTGATTGCTTCGTCCTTCTGTATTATCAACAACAGGCTTCTTCTATGTCAAAAACCATCCTATACCGCAAGAGGCCATTGACGGTATTTTTGACCTAGTAAGTATCCCTCCTTACTTGGTCTTCTCTTGATGCAGACCAGTCTTGGTGTTACTTTTATTCTCCCCCAATCGATATGGATATGTAGGTGGACAGCGCAAGAACTCCTGCGTCTTCGCCCGTCCAAGGTCTTGTTGTTAACTTATAGATGACCACAATCCTATTGACTATTCCATCGCACTTACAAGATCATTGCAGGAAAGACGGTTCTTTGCTCAACCGCTACCCGTCAAACTCGAAACCCCCTACGTGGCATCGAAGAACGCCGGCTACAAACCCGCCAGCTCGTACGGGTGAGTAGTGTGTCTTCTAGCATTCCCCTCCATCTCCTTCTTTTCTCTTGTGATAAAACAGAAAAATCCCAATGGTGTAACCAGACGACCTCCCCAGGGCGGACGCCAGATTTACCGATCCCCGCGAAGCCATCAGTATCAACAAGTGGCCGACGCTCGAGCACGCCGCCGCCGCACCCCTCCCTCCCATCCTCTCCGAGGCACGCCAACAGATCTTCTCCTTCCAGCACCAACATGTCCGTCTCTTCACGAAGCAGCTCCTCGAGCTCATCGCGTTGGCGCTCGACCTCCCTCCCACCACGTTCACGCAGTACCACGGACCGCAAACGGAAAATTATGACAACTTCGAGCTGATGCATTACCCGCCCGTCACCACGCGATCGTCGGACACTGTCGGAGGTGGGATTCCTACAACATTTCGCATCTCGCCTCACACAGACTGGGGAACCCTGACCTTGCTCTTCCAGACCACCGTTGGGGGTCTCGAAGTCCGCCCGCCCAAATACACTGTCCCAGACTTGTCGCTGGACACGGAGACGTGGACGCCAGCACCGGCTCTGCCCGACCTGATCCTCGTGAACATCGGCGACATGCTCGAGTTCTGGACCGCTGGCAAGTTAAAGAGCACTTGGCACCGCGTCGTCCCCACCGCCACGGAGGGCGGCTTGGATCGGTACACGTTTGCGTATTTCCTGCATCCGGACAAGGATGCCGTTCTGGTGCCTATGCAGGGCATGCAGAAGCAGGGTTGGGTGCCGAGATATGCCGGTGCAGGGAGGACGGCCGAGGAGCATATCCATGCTCGGATCGAGGGCGTTCACGGTAAGAATAGAACAAAAGGCGAAGATAAGGCCCTCGGCCTGTCAAATCACAAGGGAGTGAGTGCTTGAAACTGGCGCGGCTGAGGTCGGACGCGCAAGCATCAATGCACTCGAGTCAATTCTTGTAGTCAGAGCAACTGGTGAAGGCCATGGGCGATCTGCAGTCAATAGCAAAGATGCACGAAAGCACTCGAGTTCCATCACAACCTTGTGACCACGTAGTCGGAAGGGATGCTCAGAATTGAACTGTCATCGAACCAGTAAGTATCGAGATCGTATAAGCATATTCTGAATATTGTCGATTCCTGATCCTATAAAAGATCGGATGCTTTGCCCAAGCCCAAGACTGGTCAACCATCCATGGATCTCTCCATCCTGATGTCCACCAGCGATTCCGACACGGGTACATGATATCATGCTTCCAGTACTTGACTGCAGGGCTTTGTCAATCAGCCAGGTGAGAAACGCATCACGAAGACGCTCTGTCCTAGCTCCTGCAGTGTTCAGGAACGTCGACCTCCTCTTGGTACGTCCGACCCAGGCGCGAACTCCCCAACGTCGGACCAGTCACTCAGGCCAACATCTCTTGACCAGTGTCTGGAACGCCTACTATGTCCAGGTCGAGGTTCTGCGTCTCCGGTCTTGTAGACCAGACGCTGTCATCCTCGCATGACTGGATTTCCTTCGGGTTGAAAGGATGTGGCTTTAGCGTAGGGTTGGGCTCTGGACAACCGGGTGTGTTTGGTATCGGTGTGTAAGCATTCGAGAACAGCCGTGTTGAAAACAGGCCTTGGGGAGGAAAAATCCTTCCGTCATTTCCACGACGTCTTCGATTTGCCATGCTCTGGGAACATATGATGTATCCCTCCTCATGCGCCGCTAAGCCGCATTCAATATCGATTAGTGAGACTGCTTGTCATGCAGCATGAGTGTCTCACTTGCACGCTCTTAACGTCCTTACCCCCGCAATCTCCTAAGACTTCTCGAAATGCCGTCCAGGTGGATATGCGGCCGCTTTGAGGTGAAACCCTTGCTCGATTTGGCGTCCTTCCCTGCCTCGATTGCAGCACCTTGAAAGCATTCGATTTGTTTGGCTTGCCAGGACTGCCAGCGTTGCTGATTGTTGGACCGTGCCTGCATTTGTTTGGTGAGTTTGGAATGCATCTCTGACGACGAGCAGGCCAAGGTTGACGAAGTGGTACTACTTCGGAGAGTGTTTACCGAGGATAGAGAAGAAGAGTGCGGTCGGCCTGAGGTAGTCATGGCAGGTCTTTCGACACCGCGCGACGAGGGAGAAGACATTATTTGTTGAAGTGTAGGTCTGGGGGGGCCGATTGATAAAGTGTTGGCGTGTTATGTCGATCAGATATGTTGCGATAATCCTGGGACGCGAGATGCCTAGAATAAGTGAAATTTATCTTCACCACTGTAGGATTAAGGAGGATTGTGTGCGGTCTGCTGAAGGGGCTCAGATACCCAGCTGGCTTCCACTTCGCTTCTATATCAATGATTGCAGAAAACATGGGGCTAAAGAGAAGGACAGCCGATTGATCCCAACGTGCTAACATTAATGTGACTGGCCGAGTAAATTCCCTACCTTGTAAATGGATCAAGGCCATTGACGCATGCAGGGATAAATGATAACGTTGCAGCGTAGATTGTCAAGATATCACGCTTCCTCCACGTTTATCCACCCGAGCACGTTTGAGGCTGTGGCATAGGCTAAATGGAGTGTGGGATCTGTTTGGGACATTGATACCAATCTCGGACGATCATGTGAAAGAAAGGAAACTCGAGGATCGAAAGCGAGACGGACCCCATAAGCGAAACGTATGCTTGTATTTGATGTTCGGTCTTACCACCGGGGCAGTCAAGGGGAAATTCTAGACCATGCGCATTTCTTGTACGAGTCGACGACTTCGCGAGTTAATTCCGAGGGCGGGCGTGACCTCATGCTCTGATGAATGGAACCCTCCTGGTATTGGACCATGGGTATACCCAATCAGGAACTGTGAGATAATTCATGGTTGAGGGAATAAACGGATGTGATTCCGCCATGTGAAGTTGTGAAGAAGAGATTGAGGACTTGATTGCCACTGGACAGCATATTAGAAAACGATGGGCCGGAGATCGCATTCTCGCATGCTCGTAGATAGTAGAGGACCTTTGACGGCCAAGGAGTTGATCAGTTGACGCCCTGTTGGTCTGTTCAAACTGCGGAAACCACCTAGGATGAGGCAGAAAGCCGTGCTGCGGAGTGTGTCCAAGACCAGATGAGCCTCGTCTTCCGGTTGCTGCCCAAGAAGGAGCAGAAGATTTTGAGGGTTTGCATCGTCATAGCAAATGTGATTTTCATGCTAGGGAGTCGAAAAGGAGGGGCTCGAGGCGGTGGTGAATGAGGCTGGAGGCTGGCGACCGTTGCTGGGAGACGGGGGGGGCGTTGAAGTGGGTTTGTGGTCGAGGGCCACGCAGGAACTAGTGTCAACAGAAAGGAGCGTGCACGCGCCATCTTTGCTTCAGGAGAGTCCTGTGTTGTCTTCCACCTCTTCAACACTGACCCTGAAACCATTTTCACGACTCAAACACCAAGAATAAATTCGATTCAGCAAAGAGCAGTCAAGGCCTGTGGAAAGGAACACACTTCTTTGGGAGAACTCTGATTTGGAAGATGGTGAGTTCTTTCCTCCCATTCGCCCAGGAAGTTTCCGCAGAGGACCAGGGCGATCTCACCCCCCGGCATGCTTGACTAAACGCTCAATTGTCGTCCACCAACAAACAAAGACACGACACCATCTCACGAACTTTCTCCCTCTGCGTCTTCCCCCTCCATCTCTGTTTTCACGCAGAATTCTTCACAATGGCTAATTCTCAATCATCTGCCGCACAGACTTCTACCAACTACAAAGAGGCCTTCTCGCTGTATGACAAGCGTGGCAATGGCCGTGTTGCCCTCGAATCGCTCGGCGACCTCCTGCGCGCCTGCGGCCAAAATCCCACCCTCGCTGAGATCAGAGACCTAGAGAAACAAGTTGGGGGTGATTGTAAGCAAAACCAGGGCCACTTGATCGCAAACCAGGGGCTAACATTTGCCACAGTTGACTTTGACTCCTTCAGCAAAGTGCTCAACCGACCTGGTGGCTTCCGAGATCCTGGCGAACCAGAAGAATACTGCCGTGGCTTCCAAGTGTTTGACAAGGACATGACTGGCTTTATTGGGGTGGGCCAACTGAGATACATTCTGACGAACTTGGGCGAGAAAATGAGTGACGAAGAGGTGGACGAGCTGCTGAAGGCCGTCGACACCAGTAGTGGGGAGATCAACTACATGGAACTCGTCCGAACGATCCTGGCCAACTAGGCACTTCCTTTTACGAGCGTATGGTTTTACGGGCATGGAATCCAGTGTATCGTTTTTGGTTGGCGCAGCAGTGGTCAGGATACCACCACCATTGTCTTGTTTCTCAGGCACAACACCTGAGTGCATTCTGGCAGAGCTTATTGGTCTAGAGGGTATCTCAGATGCAAATAAACACATGAATCCTGCACAAACACACAGTTATTTCTGCTCCGCCCAAGATGGAGTCTCTGCTTGTTTCCCCTCCACCATGTCTGGGGTACCGAGTAGTCCACCAGGCAGCAAATACACTGGCCTTGGATTCGCTTCTTGTTTCTCAAACTGACTGTCATCGAGATTGTATCCTAGGACTAACTGGCACCGAATGCATCTCAAGAGGGTTCTCTTCTCGAATCCGTCTTCTCTGCGGATCATGACTGGTCTTCGCTCTGGCGCCACGTTGAGAAGCACCGAAGTCGCGGGTTTGGATTCTAGCATCTCTAGGCTCTCCGCTCGAGTAATGTCGACAGGCGGAGCTAGGATCAGAGCGCCATCTTGAACAGGCTCATTGCGACGAGGAAGGGAGTTCAGGTCATGCGCGGTGGCGAGAACGAGGGTCGTGCATAGGCAGTGGTAGGTGCGAATAGGCGACAACGGCGATCTGTCGGCCATTGATCTCAAACTGGGGTTGAAGGCTGTAGGCGAGAGAGGAATATGTCCTTGACAGGGCGCGTCGTGAACGAAAGTAAAGTGCTTGATGAAAGCAACCGCGTAAATCTTTCGTTCATGCCCCCCGCAAAAAATTCCCAGTGGCTTGTTCCAGGCGCCATCTGCGCCGCGGAATTATCACGTTTCGCTTAAACCCTCTAGTGCCTCTGGAGATCTTAGCGACGTCACCATTTACCGCCCTGGGAAAGTCGCGCAAATCGCACCAGATGCTGCCTGCATCCTGTATGTTGGTGTCGGTGTCATCGTCTTTGGCCTTTTACCTTGTATGATCTAGAGCTGAGGCTCTGTGCCCTTCCAGGGTAGAATCCAATGCCACCATTCCTCCCGAGAAAGAGGCGATCCACGTCGCCACCGGCTCCCTCTCGAGAGACTCCTGTGAAGAAAGCACGCCTCGCAGATGTATTGGACGCCGAATCGAGAAATATTCCAGGGCTACAACGGACCGAGACGTTCTCTCTCGGGAGTGACGAGTCCGAATCCTCTCTCAGTGACGTAGACAGCGAGCAGTTCGAAGACGTCCCATCGAACCTCAAGCAGCCGTCGGCTTCGACTCATCATGAGGAAAAGGAAGAGGACGAGGACGAAGATATAGAATGGGAAGACGCTGCAGGCTACGATCATGAGAAGGAGTTACCGGCCTATAAACCGCAGTCGGACGGTCCTATCGAGATAACTTTGCGCAAAGCGGACAATGAAGCCGACAACTGGATTGCGCAAGCGGCAAACAAGCGCAAAGGTCCCTCGAAGCGCGAGAAGCAGGTCCGGGTTTGTACCCATCAACTACACGTGCAATTCCTACTATGGCACAACTCGATTCGGAACAGCTGGGTCTCAGACAGGGAGGTTCAACAGATCCTCGTCCAACAGTTGCCGCCTCCGATCAAGAAGGAGGTCGAAAAGTGGAAGAGAGCCAGTGGGTTGATATCCGCAGAGACAGAGGCAATTGGAGAATCTCCAAAGGGTAGGGGCAAGAGACATGGCAAACAGAGGGCTGGTGACCCGCGTGATGAAAGAGATTGGGGCAGACCAAGCAAGCGTGTCGAGCAGGGCAAACCCGACATGAGCAATGGTGATCCACTAATCTCCCTTATGAAAGTCCTGACTGCATATTGGAAGAAGAGGTTTGCCGTTACTGCTCCTGGTTTACGGAAGCGTGGCTACGGCACCCGGCAGAGCTTGAAGCAGACTATCCAGTCTCAGCGCAACGACGAGCACAATCCTGAGGTCCATGGAGAGCGAATCAGAAATATCCAGGAATTCCGTCGGCTTGCGAGGAAGTCTGAGGGCTCGAGGGACGTCGGCGCTCAACTGTTTACCGCACTGCTGAGAGGCCTAGGTATCGAGGCCAGGTTGGTAGCGAGTCTACAGCCCAGTGGCTTCGGTTGGACCAAGGCAGAACAAGCACTGCCCAAGAAGGCCATCGAGGAGGTCAATTCCGATACTTCTCTTGACGATTCAGAGTCTGGAGACGCCAAATCGATATCAGAGATCACAAAGACTCCAGCACGACGGAAAGGCGAGCCTCGCAAAACAGTCAAGGTCGGTTCTGAGCTAGAAGACGACGACTCCTCGGTTGTGGACATCACCCCTACCATGCCCAAGAAACGGCCTCAGAAATACGACCGAGACAATCCCTTCCCCATCTACTGGACTGAGGCAATATCTCCTATAACAAACAAAATCCTCCCCGTATCTCCACTCGTTCTTACGTCCCCGGTAGCAACTACTCCCGAAACCCTTGCGACCTTCGAGCCCCGCGGCATCAAAGCCGAGAAGACAAAGACAGTGATGGCCTATGTCATTGCGTATTCTTCCGATGGCTCGGCGAAGGACGTGACTGTGCGATATCTGAAGAAAAGAATCTGGCCAGGCAAGACAAAAGGGTTTCGGTTTCCTGTGGAGAAGATTCCTGTATACAACAAACACGGCAAAATCAAGAGATACGAGGATTACGACTGGTTCAAGCGCATAATGAGCGACTACGCTCGACCTGACCTGATGAGGACAGCAGTCGACGACGTGGAAGATGCGACCGATCTTGTCCCTCAACTTCCTGAAAAGAAGGACGGCGGTGGTCAGGAAGTCGATACTTTGCAGTCACTTAAGGCCTCCGCTGATTATGTGCTCGAACGGTTCCTCCGCCGTGAAGAAGCGCTTCGACCCAACGCTAAACCGGTTCGCACCTTCATTTCAGGAAAGGGTGACAACCAGAAGGAGGAGCCAGTATATCGCCGATCCGACGTTGAACGATGTTTGACAGCAGAGTCATGGCATAAAGAGGGCCGCCGGCCTTCAGCCGGAGAGGCTCCTTTGAAGCTAGTTCCGGTGCGAGCTGTCACGTTGACTCGTAAGCGGGAAGCAGAAGAACACGAACGACAAACTGGAGAGAAACAGATGCAGGGCCTGTACAGCTGGGACCAGACTGAATACATCATCCCTCCTCCAATACAAAACGGGGTGATACCGAAGAACGCCTATGGAAACATAGATTGCTTTGTTCCTTCAATGGTGCCCAAAGGCGCTGTTCATATTCCTCTGAGAGGGACTGTGCGGATCTGTAAGAAGCTACAGGTTGACTTTGCTGAGGCAGTCACGGGCTTTGAATTCGGCAACAAGCGCGCAGTGCCCATATGCACCGGAGTGGTTGTCGCGAAGGAGAATGAGCGGGCTGTTAAAGAGGCATGGCACAAATTCAACGAGGAACAGAGGAAGAAACAGGAGAAGAAAATGGAGTCGATGGTGTTGGAGCTATGGAGAAAATTCGTTGTCGGGCTGAGGATTAGGGAGAGAGTGAGGGACACATACGGCGATCAGAATGCGGTTGATGAGCTGGCAGTGGGGAAGAGTCAAGACCAGCCGATCATGTTGGAAACTGACGACGAGGCTCCCATGGCGCATCGAGATTTACCTGAAACTCAGACCGCCGAGGACGACTTCGGCGAGGGAGGCGGGTTTCTTCTCGACTCCGACGAAGAGCAGCTTGTTGAAAGTGACCTGGAAGTGGTCCATCATCAAGACGAGCCGAAATCGCATGTCCCGGCTCACTCCATTTCCAAGGGAAAAGAACGAGCTTCAGACTATCAGTATCCGACCCCGTCTTCTGTGTCGCCGTTGAAACCCGCGCTTCGACGTCGACGACCTGGAAAGTCTATCCTCGATGAACCCGGAGACAGTGAGCACGAGAGCTCAGGTTTATCAGCGCCTCCCAGCGACGATGGCGGAGACGTGGAAGAGTTAGACCACGAATCCGGTATCGAAAGCAGGCTATACGATGTCGAGGATGCTGCTGATGATGATGACGAGGACGACGTGAGAGGCGAAGGAGCAGATGACGAGGATAGTGATGACGATGACGAAAAATCGATTGACTCCGATTCGGACGACTATGTGCCCACGAGAGCCACCAAACGCAACTCCTCTGCGCCCAAACCTCGGGCTCAGGGATATTCCACGGCCGCGTCTCAGCCATCCTCACGGAGACGAACAAGAACAAGCACCAGGGCTTCCACAACGGCAATATCTAGTCCCACCCTGGACGACGACGGAGATGACGACGAGCTTGAGTCTGACGGGACCAACGACACAACAGCACGCCAATCGAAGTCAAAGGGCGGCTACAACTCGCGGTCCAAGATCAAACCAGACCTGACAAAAGAAACCCGCTCAGTAGGTCGACCTCGCACCCCCACCGCAGGAAGACGACGGCTGAGACGGGATAGCACCAAGGTCACGAGCCCGTACTTCAATGCCTAGCCTCCAGACTGGGTATCTACTGTATATACACGGTCACAGGAAACGTGGGAGACTGGCTGCTAGAACCCGAACAGGTCAGCTGAGTGGCCAAGAACGGAATACACGCACGGACACGACAAAGAACGAAGACTTCTCTACTGTTATGATAAAAAGTGTGAGGTATATATGAATACTTCGAACCATTGGGAATTGCGGAATCTCCTAGGTGCAGGCTGTAGATACGAGGTACATTGAGGTACATAGATGTACGAGTATGATGAAACCACCGAGACGAACTTGATAGTCATCTCCAGAGTCATGCCTGTCTTCTCCTCACTCCGCTGGCGTGGATATACAGAAGTCGCTGTAATGGATACATCATTATCATCATTCGTCGTGGCTTGTGGCTGCGTCTGTGTTCCCCTCTCTCGTGACAACATCGTCCGTTACAGAGGTTGTGTCTCCCCCCAAAGGAGGATAATCAATCTCCTTACTGTCCAAGAGACGGTTGTCGTGATGATGTTGTCAGGGTTGGGACACGGGAAAGAGACTGCAAGACGGGTTTCAGAGAGAGAGCGAGAGAGCGAGATGGAGATGACAGCTCAGGTGAAATTCCTGGGCCACCGTCTACCCCAGCGGTCGGGCTGCTCGTACACGCCCTGCGGACTCCATGGCATGTCGCCGTCCTCGTAAGGCGTAAGGGGGAGGTCGTACGGGATGCGCAGGCCGACCAGTGTTTCGGGACCAGGGGGTGCTTCGGCGACGTCGTCCGAGGTGTGTGGAGGGTGTTGAGGTGTATCTCCTCCGAACATGGGAATCATCTTTATCTTTCGGGCGTCACTGGTCTCTTCTCCCACTGCGCCGTGCTCGTCCGTCTCACTGAGGCCTTCGGCGTCAAAGTTCTCGGCAAACAGCTCTGGCCAGACAAGGACCCCAATCTCGTAGCTCTGCACGACAATCTCCTTATCTTTCACGCGGAGAGTGCCCCAGGCCTGCTGGCTTAGATTCGCGCTCGTCAACAACGCCCACTTCACCTCTGGTCTTGGTTTCGTCGTCGTCGGCTTGCTGGCAAAGCACACATATGTCTTGATGTGTGGTGCCGCCTCGTCTCTTCCCGCTCTTGCGTCTTTGATTGAGCCTCTGGTCCATTGACACAATGATCTTCGAAGGCCAGTGATTTGTTTCAAATGAGCAGCGGATTGTGCCTTTGTGTGGATGGACCCGCCGGATGCGTACCCGTCGAGCGATGCTGCAACGTTGTGAGGTGTTGGGTAGATGATTGAGATGTGCTCGGGCTCCCATTCACGTGCTGGACTGGTTGGGGTAAGTGGCAGGGCAGAGTAGAGCACTGGGAAGAACTGGTTCAGCCAGCTCTGTGGGAGGGTGGCGATTGAGGAAATCTGGCAAACAACATGCGGTGACTCTGTGCCTGTCTGCTTGTTGGAGGGTATAGTCTTCCGTTGTTTTGGGAGAATCGATCTCAACGCTCGCAACAGACTTGGGTAGCCCCAGAGCTTCAAATCCCAGGCGACCTCGTTCTTCTGCGCGGTTGAGGACTCCTTCATTCGTGACGGGACGGAAGCAACAAGGGCACCTCTGACGGTTCTAAAATCGAATTGAGCCAGTTGTTCCCGCAGGTCCTTTGTTTTTGATGCGTATGCGGTGAGATAGGTGAGCAAATCATGCTTAAATCTCGTCCCAGTTCCTATCTTGCCCGGTCTGTCCACCTGCTTGCCTTCTAGAAGTGGTAGCATAGGAGACAGCCATGCCGCCTGGGTCATGTTGGTCCAGTCCTTCTCCAACATATTGGCGGTGTGGATAACAACCTGCGCAAGGTCATCGTGGGTGAAGAGAATGAACATCTTGCTATGGTGAGTTCCGAACTGGTCAGGCAAATAAGCAGTCGCGGCTTCAACATTGGTCCATCTCCGACACGCATCGTCGATGAGGATCTTGTTTGGAGAGTCATTTTTCCACGAGCCATGAATGATCTTTACTTTGACACTGGGGCGAATATCGGGATCGAAATGGGTCATCAGCCAGTCGACATCGAAGCAGTAGTTGAAGATCCATGCTTCCTTGATCAGTGGATTCCCGAGGATGTCATGTAGTGAGACAGTATCAGCGTTCTTGGTAGGCGGAAGGTCACGTATGGTCGTGAGTCTGAAAGGGGAGGGAACGAGCTTCGCTGGAGAGGTTTGGCTGGATTCAATATTGGTGTGTTGGCTGTCTGAATCTGCGTGGACTCGCTTGGGAGATTGAATCCGAGGTAGCGGAAGACGAGGAGGATCGTCCTTTTTGGGGCTCTCACTCGTCTGGGTCTGCGGCTGCGGCGTCGTTGTTCCCGATCTCGAGATGCCTGGAGGTGAGATTGACCTTGAGATTGAACTAAGGAACGCGGCTCTCTTCACCCGGATGGATGCTGGGTGGGCGACATTGCTGTCTGGAGGCGATCTCTGCGAGGCCGATGGAACGTGACTTGGGTCGGAGTCGAGCTTGACTCGTTTTGAAGGTCTTGAAGCCATCAGAGGGAAACCTGACAGCTGTCGTGTAAAGTTGTGAGCAGGTTGAAATGCTGCGCGAGTGGCGGCGAAGATGGAAGAAGAAGTCGAGCGAGAAGTGAATCGGAGGATCCTGAAGGTGACGCGCGACACCGACATTTACCAAAGACCTGCCTGATCGCCCCTCCCATACAACGCCTCGACAGCTTTACAAACTCATCTGGGGATCCTATTACTCGTACAAGACAATTTGCAGTTGACTAGAACACGCATTAGGACAACGCTTGGAAGGCTGGAAGGCTGCAGTGGGTGGTGGCCGGGGATTCGGATCATCTTCGGCACATGCGACACGAGGAATACAAGGTATCATTAGAGAAAGGTTGAGTTCGTCTCTATTACAGGGGTATCAAGGTCTATACAGCATTTCACGCCATAGGTCTACTACACCGCAGACCCCAGCCCCCGATTATCCATGCCGAATATTATCAACGCCATCGTGTGCCGCACAAACAGCCCCAAGAGGCCACAGCACGTCTGCAAGACCAGCAACTCCCTTGTGAGCTGGTCTTCTCTCATAGGACCCCTCCATACCAGCCACAAATTGATAATGGTCAGATTCGATGTGCTAGAGATGCGGTTCGTCTTGGAATCCACCGTCACTTGAATCAGGTGTAACTTTTCGAGGAAGAAGAATACCGCCGTGAGGAGCTTGCTGGGGGGCCTCTCCGGTGGCCATGGTGTCACACTGGGCTCGAGGAGGCCTGTTCTTGCGTTAAACTTGGGTAGCCGATGTCGAGGACACGGGATCAGGTGGAATAGCTGTGGAGTACTGTAGAGGAAGTTGGCAATCTGTGGAATCAGAAGCAGAAGGAGTGTCTTGCTGAAATGCGCCATGATGGCCACCACCGCAAATGTCATGCCCGCGACGTAGCAATATGTGTCCCCAACGAAGACTCTAGCTGGGTATCGGTTGTGGATGTAAAGGGCTGTCGACACGGCCAAGAATGGCAATAGGATATACAGCGTCATGAGATGTCCATCGGTGGCAGGATGTGGGCGCGTGGCATAGGCGTGGTTCAAGACCGGATTCCCAGGGAAAGGGACCAGATAGAGTGCTGAATTGAGCACCAAGAGTCCCGCAATCACCAGTGACTGTCCAACTTCGATCCCATTAACCCCTGCCAGGATGTTGATCGAGTTTGGGGCAAATATTGACAGTGCCGACATGTACAGGTAGTAGAAGAGTGACAGGTCGATGAGACGAGCTTGGTTAGGCATGTAAGGGACAAGGAAATTGGGAACCACCACCGAAGTGACGCCAAAGTCGACGTAGTAAACAATCAGCAGGGGTAGCGATGCCACCGCGGGGATGAAGAACTTGTGTCTCCAGCGTAGGTCGAGCAAGTCGTCGCATATCCCTAGTATAGTCGTGGCTTGCAACGTGTTCAGAGCCGATTGATACGAGGACAGTTTCGAGTGAGGAAATCGGTGCAAAAAGCGTCCAGTCTCGACCTCAGTGACTGTGAGAACGACATCCCGGTTTCCTCCACCGGACGTAGCAGCAACGATGTCCTTGTAGAAGGCGAAAGGAATGAAGGCCATCAGAGCCAATATGTAGACCGCCGCAGCCACTGCCCCCATGGCCTCAGGACTATGCTGATTAGCGTCCGCACCCTACTCCACTTTGAAAACTGCTCACATCTCTTTGGGCATGATCTTGCTCATGTCTCTCCCTTTCAGTCCAGCCTTGACAAAAGCTGGGCCCGACCATCTCACAAAAGCATAAGTCATGGAGAAAGCCAGGGTTGAGAACGCGAGGGATGCCACAAGAGGGGCTCCATCTCCCTGGAAGGTGTTGGCAATCACAGCCAGAGAAGCTCCGGTGGCCACAAGCAGCGACCATTTCTCTGAAGGGGAGAGCGTGGAAGAAGCCATGATGTTCGGGATGTGCTTGATACAAGGTGCTCCTTCTGTGTTACCTCGACCGTATAGAGATGGTAGCCATGGCGATATTTCACCCAGACGAGACTGCAAACTGGTAGATGTACCAACAACAACGTCTTTTTGTCGAACAATGGTAGGATGCTGTGAGATATCAAGTTGGCGACCTGACAATCTGTCCTTTGGTCAATCCCAGCTTGTAGTCTTCGGAACAATGATAGTCCGACACAGCCAGCCTCGCCGATATTCCGCCAATCAGAAGCCGCTTGAAACCAACCAACCAAACCTCGAAAGTTACTATCGACATCCACGAAAATGCCTCTCTATTTCTTGCTCTCTGTATCCGATCCTGTCAGTTGTGGGTTATACCAAGCTCCGAGACACCTCCAAGAGTCTATCTACCGGAAATGAAAGCAATTAGCATGCAATGTCTCAGCACGGCCTAACCTGACACATCCTTGTCCGTCAATCGACCTCAGGAATGAAGTATTTACTTCCCCCAAGCCACTTATGACCACGACTCCCCCTGCCGAATCTGCTCCCTGCTTGGTCGCTCAGACGTACAATTGAGCAGCTTCCGGGTCGCTACTGATAGCGACGTCTACTCTCCACAATGGGTAAAAGCTCGGCGTTCGATCCGGGGCACCACGATCGCGTCACAGTGGTGCACACCAACTTCAACGGCACGCGCATCCTTACGGCATCGATAGACCACCGGATCAAGGTCTGGGAGCGAGATCCGAAGACGGGCGAGAGAACGTTGCTGGACACCTTCACGGCACATGACTCTGATGTGAGAGATGTGAGTTTTACCGAAGTCCTTTTGGCTTCCCGATCCCATCTATTTTCCTCTCTCCTTTTTATGCGTACCCCCTGCTGACCAGACAACGCAATATGTACTAAAAAGGCCAAGTTCCTACATCCAACGCTAGGCACACACCTGGGCAGCATAGGCAACGATCTCAAATTCCACCTCTGGGGTGAAGATGCTTCGCAAGCTCCACGAGGAGGCCATCGGTTTAGGCGCATCGCGACAATCCCATCGACGCCGCGCGTGCCATTTGTGAGCATGGACGTCAAGACGCTGGCGACGGACCACGTGTCGACGTTCCTGGCCCTGATTGACCGACAGGGCCTGCTGAGCATCTACGAGCCGAGCACACCGGACGATCTGCGGGAGTGGACGCTACTGGACTGCTTCAACGTGTGCGCGACGGGTACGAGCGCCGCACCCGGCCGCGGCGAGGAGACCAGCTTCAAAGTGCGCTTCGACCCGAACCCGACGCCGCTGGCTTACATCAACTCGGTCAGCGACGATCGCGACCAATTGGGCATCGTGGTCTGCGCGCTCAACGAGGTCAAGATCTACCGCAGCGTCGTGCCCTCGCACACGGGCACCAGCGCGGACGTGAGCATTGGGGGCATAGGCATGGGCATCAGCGGTGGCACGGGCATCTCGGGCGGCAGCAACGCCAGCCACCGACTGATGTTCTACGAGGCCATCAGACTGCCTACGCATCCGACGCTGGTGCGGGACGTGGCATGGGCGCCGTTCAGCGTGCGTGGCACCGACCGCATCGCGACGGCGTGCAAAGACGGTGCCGTGCGCATCTTCGAACTCGGTGTCGCCGACGGCCCTGGCGCTGCGGCCAGAGACGGCGATGACAGTCGGCAACAGCGCAACAATGGCCATCCAGGCCGCAACAACGGCGCAGACCCGCAGCACTCTACCCCAACGTCAACGACACGTAGCATGAGCATGCAACAACAGTCACAACAGCAACACCAATCGAGTCTGACGACCCAAATCGCCGGCCGACACGGCACCGCCGCGACGCACCACACGTCCCCTTCGTCCTCCGGGGCAGCGGCGCCGCAACACTCGGCGAACCCCGCCCGGACGGCCTACACGTTTCCCTACATAACCGCCCTCTCGTCCGCCACGACGCTCGCCCAGGCGCACACGGACGCCTGGTCCGTCACGTTCGACTCGCAGGGCCAGGTGCTCATGAGCACCGGCGGTGACGGGGTGACCAAGGTGTGGAGGAAGAGTGTGCTGGGAGGGCAGTGGATGATGTTTGCGGGACAGGAGATCACGGGGGACGATGACGACGATGACGACGATGATGACGATGGTGATGACGAAGACGAAGATGAGGGTGAAGCGCACGAAGAACATCGGGGGGACGGCAATAAAGTGAATGGGAAGAAACAGGGGACTGAGACCTGTCGCTTATAACCATCTCCGAGTCCACGAGACTAGGCATGA